AGAAAAGCTGCAAACGGTACACGGGAAGCGATCAGCTGAATGAAACAGGAAGTTGTTTATTGACGTGCCTGTTAGAAAGCTCTATTTTGATTGGATGAGAAGAGTGTTCGCCAGCGAATCGTCTGAGTGCTTTCAAAATGTAAACAGTACGGTTTGGGCAGACCTTTTGTAAAGGTGTAGCTATGGATATTTATGAAATAAAATAAAATGATAAAATATAAAGCGAGATTATACTCAGATAATATATGATTACATATGGACAAGTAAGTCACGGGTACCGTATTGACCAATACTTGATAAGAAGTGTACGTTAGCGCCAACCGACATATTACACATTTTCAAGCTGGTCAAGGGACGGTGGGAAAGCCTAGTGATCATAGCGTTCGCTCGTCACGCCGAAGTTCGATTCCCAACATGGGTGCATGTGTGAAGCTCATTTCTGGTCTCCCCGCCGTGATATTGCTGGAGTATAGCTAAAAGCGGCGTAAATAGAGATTATTACACGAGCAAGTGCGTCATACGAAACTCTTGCAAAATTTTGTATTGTATTACATTTCCTAACACTAAAAGAATTGAAAATATCGTGCATAGAAAACTAACATCGTTAAGCATTCATCGACATAATTTACGTTAGCGCAATGTAATTTACGTTACTTATACATAAAGGGCGATAACTACCTAAAACGTCTTTCACTTGTCAATGTTTGATTCACATTGTTGATATTTCGGCAATACCAGACAACAAAACACATGCAATAGTTTCGCGAAACTTTCCAAATTTCCAAATATGGCGGTAACGTAAATTACAGTAACGTAAATTAGTTCTGGCAATGAAAAATGTTATGGCAAGATGAATAAATACAGAATGGCCTGGTTGGGACACATGTATAACACGAGACCGCCGGGCCCCAAATGTACAGTGAAGAAGACTATTACTGGGATGCTAGATTTGAGTTATAACGGTAACGTATGATTACTTGCTTAAAAAAATCTCTACTCATGTCGAGAATATTTTTCCATATTGTAAGAAAAATCAATGTTTACGAAACTATATGTTTTTACATATCGAGAATGGATGAACAGGAAAAATAGAAAAGTTATCATGTGGGTCTGTGCGATGATTTACCACAAGAAAAGCTGTAAATAAACACAATGTAACGTAAATTACTCTGACTCTACCGATATAATCTAAACGTGAGTTTTGTGTTTTGCTTGGTAAACCATCGACATGCTAACATGGGCAAATTAACCCGTATGTATTTTGGTTCTTTCATGACACTAAATATAACGAAACTTCCGTGGGATAAAATTTTGCAGCAAGCTTAAATGTAAAGAATACGCACTACCGACATAGCAAAAATGCCGACATAAAACCAAATGTTTGCTTCTGACGCTGCAATAAGACTTGGTGCAATATTTTTTAAGGTTGAGACTGATTGTAAACAGTGTTATTTAGAATATCTGCACAGATACACCTCGATTTAATATCAAATTTGAAATCACCGACAGCTAAAAAGTCGGCGACAGCAATTGTCCCAGTTAACTGAGAATGAGTGAAGAGGGTGAAGGGCACGAAATATTTAACAGCAGGAAGAGAACGATTTATCATTAAATATTTCCTGCCGTTCACCGCTTCTACGGTGTGGAATCTGTTGAAGCTAACTCACAGGACTAACCCTATATTTCCAATGTTAACAGGTAATTTCAAGTTCAGAGACCCGTGATGGTCTGGGTCAGAATCGATCTCCAGTAATCCATGCTTGTCGTAAAAAGCGATTATATTATAACGGGATCGGGTGGCCAGGCTGGCTGACTTGGTTGACACATGTCATCGGTTCCCATTGTGCAGATCGATGATCATGCTGTTGATCACTGGATTGTCTGGTCCAGACTCGATTATTTACAGACCGCCGCCATATAGATGGAATATTGTTGAGTGTGGCGTAAACATAAACTCACTCACTCACTCATGTTCAGAACATGCAGGTTATGTGGAGAGCAAGATGGGGTGCACAATGGGCCTTAGTAGCTTGTTGCTCGGTATACATCCGTTACAAAGTAACGGGGGTATATAGTGTTCATAGTGTTCATTCTGTCCGTCCATCTTTCCGTCCCGAAACTTTGTCCGGAGCATATCTCTTAAAGTTTAAGTGCTAGGTTCACCAAACTTCACACACATGTTAATCATGACCCATAGATGTGCCTTTTGCCATTTTGAAGTTTAACAGAATTTTAGTTTTGGCCGTTTCCATGGAATGAGGGCTTAGTGCAAAATGTGTTTGATGGTTATCTTGTCCGGAGCATTTCTCCGAAACTATACATGCTATGTTCACCAAATGTAACACACAAGTTAATCATGACCTATAGATGTGCCTTGTGCTATTTATTTTGCATAATGTGATTATTCAAAGTGTGATGTTAACTTTTCACTTTTCATGGTCTTTCTTGATGACATATGTACTAATATGTGGCTTATTCTCTGTATCTAGACTAGTTGTTTCCTTCATGTCATCAACATGTGATATATATATCAATATCAATATATATGCAGTTCCAAGTCCCAAAGCGGGAAGCGCGGGTATGTGAGCTATGCTCAATTCTACACTTGTTTGACACGTGTACGGATGGAAGAGGGTGCCAACGTTCAAAATATTCTTGGCATTCGGAATACCACTTCTACGGAAGCGCTGAAGGGACATGAGTAGGAGAATTTTATTTTTTTATATCGTGCACGAGATACTAAAATGTGCGCACGATGTAATATAGTCTGCGCACGATGTAACAAAGTGTGCGCACGATGTAATGTAGTGTACGCACGATATAATATAGCGTGCGCACGATGTAACACTTTGTTACATCGTGCGCACAAGTTAGTATCTCGTGTGCACGATATATCATTTTTTAAAATCCTGTCTCTCTTCATTTCGTGCGGACGATATAACATATTGTGCGCGGATTTGGATACGTGGTTTGGCGTTCAGATGCGGAATTACTTGGTTTCGTAAGACGTCGTTTGTGTAGGTGATGGCATTAACACGTCCTCGGAACACATGTAGTGGTTTTATTGAATGAACACTGATGTCACCCCAAACCATCACACTACCCCCACCCCAACGATCTACCTGTCGCACACAGCAATCCGCATAGCGTTCTCCACGACGTCGCCATACACAAACTCTTCCATCTGCGTCACTGAGATGAAAACGAGATTCATCAGTGAAGAGCACACCTTCCCACTGTCGTTGCGTGCATCTTCGATGGGTTCTAGTCCAGTCTAATCGACGGTGTCGGTATCTGGGGGTCAATATGGGACCATTGTGGGGACGCCGAGCGTTGAGGCCATACGTACTGACGTTAAACGGCGATTCTAGTACTTTTGCTGGTTTGAGTCCCATCCGGGATTCGAACCCACACTCTCAGAGTGGTTTTGAAATTGGAAACAATTGCTCTTGATGCTTTTGTCCGATGTGGCACTAGCCGCGACAAGGCGTCTGGTTGCCAGGCAACATGGAATATGTAATGGAAGAATTAATAGTAAAGTCAGGGCCGTTGACTCGTCAGGTTTTCACGAGGACAATTAAGCCAGTCTTTGCCACTCCCACCCCACACGATGACCTACAACTGACTGACTGAGTTTGGTTTTACGCCGCTTTTAGAATTATTCCAGCAACGTCACGGCGGGGGACACCAGAAATGGGCTTCACACATTGTGCCCATGTGGGGATTCGAACCCAGGTCTTCGGCGTGACGAGCCAACGCTTTAACCATTAGGCTACCCCACCGCCCCTATGACCTACAAAGATATGCTTATAAACAGTGTATTTTTATGGTTTGGTTTTAGCGGCATTTAGAAGTTGTTATAGATGACCAAGATGGTTTATGGATTTTATGAGTCAACTATATTGTGTCAACTGTCACTTCACCTGATGAAGGGATCTGTAATGATCCCGAAACGTTGTGTGGGAAAGAAAAAAGAAGCTTAAATCCATAAATTATCTTGATTTGTTGTAGGATGACAGTGCGATTTATATAGGGGAACAGAGGTAGGAAACGTATTCGCACTGGCGTACCGGTGATCTGTTGTTTTGTTCCCAGTGATGGATAGCAACCTGGTCACCGTGCCCCCTTGACACAGGGAACAAAACAACAGATCACAGGTACGCCAGTGCGAATACTTTTCATACCTCTGTTCCCCTATATAAACCGCACTACCATCCTTACAACACACTAGATGAAGCTGACTGACGCGACATTCCACGGATGCATTGTGGGAATGTAAACATTGCGAACGTTGCCGTGTCTCTGTTTGAGTCGAACTGAGACATTTCTTTCCGTCGAAAAACATAAACGTAATGTTTCCACCAGTGATGTTAGCTGAGTGAAGCAAATGCAAACCAAGAAACGGGGTGCCACGGAGTAGTTTTAACTTTACTGTAGGAGGCTGTACGAGGCGATGACAACTGACATGCATCGTGACGTCGATTAGATTGTGACGTAATGCAAAAGTGTTCGATTACGAGGGGGGCATATTTGAATGGCGCAGTGACGCCTATGCATTGTGAAAGTACTGTCGGCGCCTTTGATCTTTCACCGAAGCATCTTAGAATGCATATTAATATAATTCTTTATGTATTTATGTACATTTGTACATAGATCACCGATGCTTGGAACGATTGGGGGCGGTAGTCATGAAATAAATAAATCTGAAAATGCCCCAGTAAGACGCAATATCCGGGTTGGTATTTTCCACAGGCAACAGAACGTTAGAACACCGGTACACCTTACAAATACAAGTGCCATACTCTGTAGCTCTTGTCATTACCATACTGTATAACAAACTCGCAGGCAAGGTCGAACATCTGCAGATCTCAGGTAAGTGGGAAATATGTGTGAGTCTTTCAACTTATATCTTATTCAACGCACACAAGAGCTAATAGATCGGACCCAGGCGCCTATGAGAAGGTTGCTATTTTCACAGGAAACAAAACGTTAGAACACCAGTATCCCTTTACAACTTAACTTTTCATACTTCCGTGGTCCAGTGAGTAGTACACCGAACTCGCAGGCAAAGCCGAGCATCTACCGATCTCAGGTAAGTGTCAGGTGTGTGCATGATGTTATTTCACATGTTTGACAGATGTTTGACCCAATGAACACGATCGAAACTTTTTTAACAGATGATTATTGTGATAATACGGGTTAAGTGGGTCAGGTAGGTATAGAGAGGGATGTGTGTGTATTCACTGATCGGCATGCACCACCTACATTTGACCAAGAGACAATATGCTACCTGTGATTCTATCGGTTATACAGCGTGTATAAACATATGATCAGCCCGAGGACCGATGGCCTAGTTACAACATGTGTCAACATGGCGATGTTTGCTTTGATAACGCTCTGTCGTCTGCGAAATATACTTTTTGCGAGTATTCATGAAATGAAACAGACTGAAATTTCAGTCTGTATTGTTTTGCTCTATTTTTCAGGAAGAGTTTTTTTATTCATACGATGAAGGAATAGATTATACTCCGAAACGTTGTGTTCCTCATAATAAAGAAGTTGACATCCAGACAAACTCTCTTTCTCATGTGTATCACTTCTAAATGCCATTTAAAGTTCTATTTTAATTATAATATCAATCAAAAGCAAACACCCGATTCATTTATGTCACTGTTGTTAATGTCATCTGATGGCGCCCTTAAACTACTTTTCGGTGATATATACTGAACCATGAGAGTGTTTTGTTTTATGTTCATATTTTAGATGTATCTCGTTTTCTTTCAATATGGTTTTGGAATATTGATGTCATTCTTCAATAGAGCAGGGGCGGTGGGGTAGCCTATGGTTAAAGCCTTGACTGGTCACGCCGACGACCCAGGTTCGATTCCCAAAATGGGTACAACGTGATATTGCTGGAATAGTGCTTAAACTCACTCTAACAATATATCATAAATACTATTTGTCAATCTTAGATGTAAGTGGATTAAGTAATCGATAACACTCACATAGTATTCTACTGTCATGAAATAAATACTTGTGATTTCAGTGTTAGTTATGTGTGACATATGTGACCTTGCTCAAGGTCAAATATGTATATCCGTATATATAAAACAGTATAACAGTCGAACATCGCTGTGTCGAAGTCGAATGTTACAACAGGGGTCGCAGAGTACCAGCCATCAAATTCAAAGCCTTTGAGGGGCTTTCAGGGCCCAATCAACAATTTTAAGGAACTATAGAAACCAGGTAAAACATGCACACAGGGTTGGTCTCATAATGGACTAACCATCAGAGGAAAATAACTCTCAGCTACATCGCTGCACTGGGAAAATTTGGCTTAGCGATGGAGATTAATTAACACCCATTGTCATCGCAAGGTATTTTTATTATGTACATGTATTAGTTTCCTGTGAAATCATGACTTGACAAGTTTTGGTAAATTCAGGGCCTCTTTGGGGCAAATCACTGACACTGAGGTCCTTTTCATGCCTGAAACGAATTTAGGGCCGTTTGGGGGTAAGATGTCCAAATGTCAGGCTCTTAATAGCCGTTTGGGGGTAAGAACCTTGTATGAGACTGTGTCCATCAGTATTGCATTTAAAACTAATAAAAGTGTTATCATTTTATCTGTAATACATTGGATCGCCTATGTACAATGTCCGGTTACTTTCTTACCTGTTCTGTAGTCACGACAAATAAAAAAACAGCCTCTTTAATTTCAATCTGAAGATGCTGGAATATATATATATCATCAGCTAACCTTATATTTTGTTTCTTGTTGAACATAAACTTACTTTTCATTCTGCAGTCTACAATATCGTTCAGTTTGTGTTGTGAATGACAGTTATATAGTGAGTTTGGTTTTACACCGCTTTTAGCAAGATTTCAGCAACGTCACGGCGGGGGATACCGGAAATGGGCTTCACACCTTGTACCCATGTGGGGAATCGAACACGGGCCTTCGGCGTGAGGAGCGAACACTTTGACCACTAGTCTATCCCATTACCCCAACAGTTTTATAACTGGTAGGGTTAGGTTCATTTATGGATCATAAATAAATAATCTTCAAATATTTCTTCTGGAATGTTTACATGGAATAGTGTTTCATTAGACATCCATGGAGTTCTGACGAACTACAGTACCGTGCATTAATAACCCCCTCTTTTGTTACAGTTGAAGATGTCAGTCTTAAAGATCCCGGATGGTGGGGGAGACAGCATCACTCTCCTGGAAGTGGATGGTTATTTGTACCCCAATTCAGATATTGAGGCCCCAGCCGACGTCATCAAAGGCATCCGCGACCTTCCCATCCGAGAGGATGACGTCTTTGTCTGCGCCTATCCTAAATGTGGTGAGCAATCGAGAAACAGTTTATAATCTTCCCTTGTTAAGGTCTCTTAAAGAAGTCCGCATGAGTAGAATGCGCGACGTCCATTTCCGGTGTCCCCCGGTGTACACTCACTCACCCCCACACTCACAGACATCGCATCGTGACTGCCTCGGAAAACTCATTTCAACCGTACCAATAAGCGTTCAAACAGAAACAATTATCTTTACGTATTTGTCCGATTGACGTACATTATTTTGTAGGACAATTTTCACTAGTGTGAGAGGGTGAGGTGTGTTTCGATCTTTCTTTCTTGTTGGGTCGCAAATCCTGTCGTCTCCAATTGTTGAGCCAACCTCCTCTGAATTTGCTTTATGTGTTATGTATACATGATGACACACATGCTGGGCACATATAACACCATCTGAACACTGTGCGAGTGAGTGTGGTTTAATACCGCTTTTAGCAATATCACACCAATATCTTGGAACACCTGGAAAAGGCTTGCCATCCATCCACATTAGGAATCGAACCTGTCCTCGGCCAGACGAGCGAACGATTTAAGGACTGGGTTTTTACCTCTAATTTTGCAACTGTTTGTTTTTACCTCGAATGTCGCTCTGATCTCTGTGTTGATATTTCAGGCACTCACTGGATCTGGGAAATGGTCCGACTTCTTCTGTTGAGCGACACGGACACTGTCATTGAGAAGGATCAACTGATGTTAGAGTTCATCAAAGGCGAGGTCTTAGAGAAGTTCCCGTCGCCGCGTATTTTGAACACGCATTGCTTTGTTGAGCAGCTGCCACGTGGTGTGTTTGAGAAGAAGTGCAAAATAATCTACATCCTCCGAAACCCCAAGGACATGGCTGTGTCGCTGTTCCACCACCACAAGAAACTGATATGTTATGAATATAAAGGGAAGTGGGAAAACCATTTGTCTTTACTGATGGATGGGAAAGGTGAGCGGAGTGAGTGAGTGATCGAATGTTGTTTTATGCCAAAGCCATCTAATCTCCAGAATGTCAATCTTTTGACTGACCGTACGAACGTCGCACGCCGTGTAGCCTCCATCTTATCGTAAAGATATCGTGAGTAAAGTGTACACTGTCGCAGCATATTTTCGAAATTATCGTATCCCAAAGAATCGTGACGGCATTAGCAGACACCCGGCCCTTTCAGCCTCCAACCAAAAGTGAATGTCTGAGTAGATATCGTATCGTTGCGCGGTATACGTAAAGTTTAGAATAGTTTCGATAAAGTATACAGTATGTATCTCTAACTTATCTTTGAACGTTGTTAAGATTTGTCTTAACTGAGATTGTTTCTAGTGACCGAGCCATACCATGTAACATCCTCATCAATCGGCGCTCACGTGAAGCATTGGTTAGCACAATGTTTACAGTGTAGGTGTATTTTCAGGAGGGGTGATTATTGAATGTATTTCACGTTGGTTTAGTTCGTTATGTTTTTCATGACAATTATATAACTGATTTTAACTGCCAGGGATATGAAGGGTGTATATGTGATTCTTGTATATATGTATATATCACGTATAATGTTCGCAGTGCGATAACAGCTGTCGATTGGGAAATGACCGGATTGTTGTGTTAATACTGCAGGTGAGTATGTATTTTCTTGAGGAATCGCAACAGGACGCCCATGTGTCGCCTTCAGAAGCGAAGTTATTGACTAATTATTCTGCAATATAGAATTGGGATAAAAAAAATCAGAAAATAGGAGATGAGTTTCACAAAACCAATACCATTACACCTTTGACATTTCAGTCGACTTCGGGGCGTTTTTCGACTACATGAAGGACTGGGCAGCGGTTGGGAAAACTCACCCCGAGTTGCCGACCTTGACCTTAATGTATGAAGATATGAAAGAGGTAACAGTTAACTTTACATGGTCCCGTGGTTCCAAACATTTACTGGCTAATGTCAGTATTGAATGCGAAGCGAATTGAGTCTGTTCATTGAAGACATCAAGTGGATTTTAAAGATTCTTCGAATTAAACCATCTATGCTTTCGCAAAACAAGATAGGAGACTCGTTGACCCTCGCTACTTTAAGGCGGACGATATTATAGTAAGAAAACTGATTGTCAGAGTAACCTTGGTTTAATTTTGACTTTTTAGTATAACCTCCCTCCTGTCTTTCAATCAGCACTTCATTCATAGGTACTTATTACGATGATAATTCCTCATGTTCTTTCAAATGCTGAAAAGGAAACATCAACACACTCAATGTGTCTTAAAACTGCTAATGTTGAACGGCTCATTGAACTAAAACTGAAAATGCCAATCAAACACTTCTATTCTACAAGATTTGTATTGGATCCTCGGCAACAGATCGTCAAGGAAATGATTTTGTGTAGTTATTATTGTGATATTGTCAGGCAATATTTCATCTGTTTCAGGATCCACTAACTGGCATTAGGAAGTTAGCAAAGTTTTTGAATGTTGAAAAATCAGAGGAATTCTACCACAAAGTAAAAGAGTTGACGAGTTTCAACAAAATGAAAGAAGCGAAGGGCAAATTCTTTAAAGCGCCTGACGGTTCTGCTGTTATGTACAGAAAAGGTGGGTACATTTGCCGGCACTTGGACATCAAAGTAATCTGGTGATCGTAATTGACCACTGGTAAAGGTCCAGGTTAGAATTGTTCTTCAGCAACCCATGCTTGTCGTAAGACTGACTGACTGACTGAGTTTGGTTTTACGCCGCTTTTAGCAATATTCCAGCAATATCACGGCGGGGGACACCAGAAGCTTGTCGTAAGAGGCGACTATCGGGATCAGATGGTCATGCTCGCTGATGTGGTTGTGTCACACATCAACGTATCCCAATTGCGTAAATTGATGCTCATGTTGTTGATCACTGGATTGTCTGGTCCAGATTCGATTTACAGACCGCCGTCATATAGCTGGAATACTGCTAAATGCGGCGTTGAACAACAAACAAACAGGTCTTTGGATGGCATTTAGTGCTGAAACACATAAGGAAAAGAGTTTTATGGATGTCAACTTATTCATTATGATAGTGTCTCTCTTCCTTAACAAACAAACAAGCAAATAAATATTCCGTTATCTAGTTCACACGCATACATGTACGTGGATATTGTTACGGTAATAAATGCCGTGACAAAAGGTTTAAGAGTCCCCTTTGAACCAGCAAAATATAACACAGACAAGTCTAAAATATTCAATAATATATTGAGCAAACAATGAGCACGCTACAATGAATGACAATATATATATTTAGTAAAAGGCAATTGAGTCACAAATCTGAAGTAATGGGTCACAAATATGAAATATTAACTCGCCTTGATATTTACAATGAGAGCAGATATTCTAATTGAAGGTAGTTTACAATGAGAGCAATCAGGCTCGCACTGTCTTGAATGTAGGTCAGACGATGCCAGACAGACAGACAACGACGGTAGACAGGTAACGGCAGAAAGAGGTACACAACTCCTGTGATATGAAAAATCCCGTGTAATTCCGTGTGTCAGTCCCCGTGTGTGTCAACACAAGAACCAGCCTTTATATATACAGACACAGAGTCTAGATCATTCCTTATCCACTGTAAACTTTATTGAAATCTGTGGAAAGTACGACATGGAAGTCAAAACAAAATTATAGCAATGGAGGCAACTCTGGAGCGCTATCAAAAAAGGCGTACCGCTAAAAATAGTATTGCCATTGGACATACATGACACAAGACACTCAAAACTTTAAACATTGTGACCCATAATAACTATCACTTAATCAACGATAATACAAATTACAAAAAAACACACTCTCGTAATAATATTCATCACTGCCAATCTCTAAAAGTGCAGGGTGGCCTCATTATCTCGGCGATTACACAACACCAAACACATACCGAGACTGTGTAGAGAAGAATAAAACATCTAGTAGTTGCCAGGGAACAAGTGAATCCAGGTCGGCAGTACCAAGAGCGTTCATGTCTCCAACCAGCATGAAAGATTAGGACTCCATAACGGCAACGTGCGACCTTCCGTCAGATTGCGAGTAACTACCATGTAACGGAGGAACGTCACATCAGAGCTCGTCACCCTGGTTACAGGCCATCGTGTGTCAGCCTGGCAGGATCAGCCTGACCGTGTACGCCCACTGCATGCCGAATGGGTTAGCATTTCCCTAACCTCATAGGCAGGAGGGCGGTGGGGTAGCCTAGTGGTTAAAGCGTTCGCTCGTCACGCCGAAGACCAGGGTTCGATTCCCCAGATAGGTACAATATGTGAAGCCGATTTCAGGTGATATTGCTGGAATACTGCTAAACGCGCCGTAAAACCATACTCACTGACTCATAGGCAGGATATGTCTCCACCCCCAGGTCGACCAGACTACAGATGAGGTTCTTGAGAGACATATAGAAGTTGGTACTCAAATAAAACGCAAATATTATGGATGACTTAATCTTTATTGTATATCACAACGTCTCTGGGCTGTTCCTGGCCCCTTCGTCAGGTGAATTGAACCAGTGAGTGAGTGAGTGAGTGAGTTTAGTGTTACGCCGCACTCAGCAATATTGCAGCTATATGGCGGGGTGTAAATAATCAAGTCTGGACCAGACAATCCAGTGATCAACAACATGAGCATCAATCTACGCATTTGGGAACCGATGACATGTCTCAACAAAGTCAGCGAGCCTGACCACCCGATCCCGTTAGTCGCCTCTTACGACAAGCATGGGTTACTGAAGACCAATTCTAACACGGGTCTTCACGGGTGAATTGAAACAACCAAGATACATCCATGAATATATATACCAAATGTACGAGAAGCCAGTGTTGCATGTATATACAATGTATTATATAAGAAATAGGAGGTGAAAGAATGAGGTGTACAGATAATGGGTATGTTTATACAAGGGAAGAGCTTATACAAGTGATTAGCAGATGTGGGTAGAAGCCAGTAATGACCTAATTGACTTCCCAGGCACTGGGGAGGTGGCCTGACCTCATATCGCCTACAGAAGGTACACCCCTTGATCCTTGTTCAGCTGCGGTTGTAATTGTCTCTACGGATGGCTTTGACCTTTGTCACGTCAGATCTGCGTCAGCGACACGTGTCAACTCTTCTGTGTATCACATGTGAACATTTAGCTGTTTTCCATTGATCTATAACATGAATCCACCATGTACGTTTGCGTTTAGTTTTTGAACAAATACCGGGGTATAAGAAGGAACCATTTTCTGGATGCCATTTGGTGGAGTCCATTTAGGAATTGTCAGAACGTGAAAAATGATAACTTTACGTCTATGTTTCGATTTCAGTGAGATTTTGTTACCAATTTTCCGTGTTTCAGGTGAAGTTGGCGACTGGAAAAATTACTTCACCGTGGCCCAGAACGAGGCTTTTGACAGACTATACAAGGAAAAGATGGGTGATTGTGACATAAACTTTAGATACTCGCTGAAGTAAGGAACGAAGACCAAGGTGTCAGATGGGAAATGTATACCCATGCCGATAGAAGAACAAGAAACACATTACTACAGAGTGTTACAGGACTCAAGAGGAGAGAATATTTTATTTTGAATATTTGCTGAATTTTGATTACAATTACTATTACATAGTCACGATTTGTGGCAATTTTGAAGGATCACGAGAATATATGGTTCTTTGGTAAAGGTGCTTGTGTTTATACAATGGATTTGTTTTCATGTTTCTATATCCGAGTCAAACTCGTATTATCTTGACGTTACATGGAGATATTTTGGTATGGCTAATGTCAGTATAAAGTTGATGGTATTTTTTGTTATTTTGTTTCTTTTTATTTTCTGTTGTTGTTTAACGCCGCACTCAGCGATATTCCAGCTATTTGCCAAAGGAGCTTGGACCACACAATTAAGTGATAAACAACATGAACACCGACCAACGCAATTGGATGGCATGCGTCAACCATGACAGTAATGCCGAATATTTCCATCGTCATTATGAGTGAATGAGTGAGCTTAGTTTTACGCTGCACCCAGCAATATCCCAGCTATATGGCGGCGGTCTGTAAATAATTGAGTCTGGACCAGACAATCCAGTGATCAACATCATGAGCATCTATCTTAACAATTGGAATACGATGACATGTGTCAACCAAGTCAGCGATCCTGACCACCCGATCCCGTTAGTCGCCTCTTACGACAAGCATGGGTTACTGAAGATCAAATCTAACCCGGATCTCCACGGGTCCATCGTCATTATGTGTCATCACAGATAGTAAACAAAGTTTAAGGTCAGCTGCCTTCACTTATATATGCCAAACAAAAAACGAAACGCCACACATGGAGAAATGAATTATATTGAAAATGGGCGAATACCGTAATGGCCACGTCTAACCTGACGCATCCGTCCATTTCAGTTGTGGTGAAAGCGTGACCCAAATTTCATATGCATGATGACTAAAGCGTGTGCAGATTCAATTTATGCTGATGATTAGAAAAAAAACACACGTTAACAATCTTCAGAAATAAACAATGCCACGACTTACACATGTTGAACATGAACTTGTAATTGGCATGTTTCTGGCTGAGTAGAGCATGGTTCGTTTGCATGCTGCCCATTTTCGTGCCCGACATCCTAATGTTGGGTCGATCTGGCACAGGTAAACCCTAATGAACATCTAGGCTGGGCAAAACGACAGATAGTTTATTTAGGTCTCACCTCGTGCAATGCAACATAAAAATAAATTATTATACATAAATTCATTGACGGGCCACCCATATAGGGTTACGAGAGACACATAAACAGTTAGAAAACGGTATCAGTAAAATATATAAAGTGTTTCACACATTACTATATAAAATACCCCTTCTTTCTAAAATAAACTTGCAGGTTTTGGCCGATAAAAATACAATATCTGGGTTAGACAATATAAACCTGATCATCACAGGCGCTCAAAAGATTAAAATTATCACAAATACTACTACATTCAGCTTCCCGACATCAGTGTAAATAGAGCAATCCAATAAAACATGACATTCATCTTCAACACAATTCACACAATTAAAACACACTCGTTCAGCTAGAGGTAGATTGTTGTAACGCCCACTCTCCACACGTAGAGGGGCAACTCCAGATCTGAAGAGGGCTAGCGCACGACGATGTGTCCTAGGGAGGGAACTCTGTACATACGGTTCTACATCATAGGAGCGCTTAAACTGGTAGTACAGTCGTAGTTTGTTGCCACCACTGCCGTGCTTACTGTTCGGGTTCTCCAATGTCGCCCGCCACTCCTCCTTAAAAGAGGTCATTATTCTGCTAGCAACTTCTGATGTGATATGGTTGATATAAAACGAATTTCCAATAGGTATAAATAGGCGATGTTGGGACAGCAATGGCGCAGTTCACCGAATGCCCAGGCACAGGTTTGGTTTAGGTCATCGAGTGCGCATTTGCTCATATGCACCGTCGCTGAATAGGCCCAGTAATATTGGGGCCTTTCTAGGGCTGCGCAATATAACCGGTTTACCGGTATTTACCGGTTCAGACATGAAAACGATACGTATTGCGATACGCTGATCGAAAACCGGTATTTTGACATGCATTCGGAAAACTTCGTAACACTCGGAAATCTTCGGATATTTCCGTTTTTTTATTTGTTCTTTTCCCTGTTTCATTAGTGCCGAATGTTACTTACATTTTTATTTTGTCATGATTAAAAGTTTTTAATAAAAGGTTAATCAATCATAGTGATTTTGTTGTGTTTTTGCTTTATAATCAAGCATTAACTCGATTAGAAGCAGTTTTTGTTAAAAAAATAATCCTTGCAATAAATTGCAATACATATCGCAATATATGCTTCCGCATCGTAATATATCGCATATGAAAATTCTCTGCAATACCCACCCCTAGGCCTCTCAATATTTATTTCTGGCACAGCTCCTGCAATACATAAGCAGATGCTTTGGTATTTGATGTCTAACAAATCCTATTCGTATTAAACAATGTTATATACAACGGGCGTGTTCTAGAAGGATTGACGTAATATCATGTTTCTTTAAATTGGCCAACATGGTGTCATGTACAAATATCGAATTTTTTATCAAAACGGGTAATATTTTCATTCCATTAATGTGGTTAACGTCTCACGTACATTCGCCGTGACATGCATAGGTCTAAAGTTCGTAAAATTGGCAAGAGGCAGGCTGTATTCACAAAACTTCATTCAGTGGAATGCCGAGCGTCACATCAACGACGGATTAATTAACTGCCTACCTAAACTATATGTTTCCAATTAGTTTCCAAGTTTGAATTTGTAGATCATGAATCATTAATTTTCAAATAATTCTTCATAAAATTATACATGGAGTAACGTGTCATTAGACATCGCTGGTGATGTACCGTGCATTAACAACCCCAGCTGAAGATGCCAGTCTTAAAGATCCCGGATGGTGGGGGAGATAGCATCCTTTTTTGTAATATACACACGCACACACGCAAGCACAGACACCAACACACACGCGCGCCAAATGCACGCACGAACAAACATGCATGCACAAACGCGCGAACACACATACCGAGTAGCGAATGGTCGCTGCAGCCTTTTACCACTTTGTTGCCAAAACCTGAGAGTACTGGGTAGTGGCGCTGGCAGCAGAATGTTGGAGTAGAACCAATGACTAGCGGATCCTGGTACGTTCACGTACACCATCAGAACACTGTGCGAGTGAGTATTGTTTTACACCGCCTTTAGCAATATCATATCAATATCATGCAACACCTGAGGTGAGGTGAAATTGGGCTTAACGTCGTACTTGAGAATATTTGGCTCATATGACGACGTGCATGCGCGTGTATGTGTATGTGCGGTTGCTTGTACTAGCCCAGACTTAAGCTGGTTTTATTGTGCTAGCCCACTGAGATATCATGCCGCAGTGAAGCATGAATACCCCACTCAGACACATTATACTGACTCCGAGCCGACCAGTCCTTGTTGTACCCATTAGTGCCGAGCGCCAGGAAGGGACCAACAAGTACCATATCTTAACGTCTTTTGGTATGACACGGTCGGGGATCGAACCCGCGACCTTCCGCTCTCCGGGCGGACGCTCTAACCACTACACCACGGAGGCGGTCATGGAACACCTGAAAAAGGCTGGCAATCCTTCCACGTGGGGAATCGAACCTGTATTCGGCCTGACGAGCGAACGCTTTAACCACTGAATAGTTTTAACATAGATCTGAATTTCGCTCTGTCTCTGTGTTGACATTTCAGGCACTCACTGGGTCTGGGAAATGGTCCGACTTCTTCTGTCGAGCGACACGGACGCTGTCATTGAGAAGGATGAACTGATGTTAGAGTTTATCAGAGGCGAGGTCTTAGAGAAGTTCCCTTCGCCGCGAATTTTGAACACGCATTGCTTTGTTGAGCAGCTGCCACGTGGTGTGTTTGAGAAGAAGTGCAAAATAATCTACATCCTCCGAAACCCCAAGGACACGACTGTGTCGCTGTTCAACCACCACAAGAAACTGATATGTTATGAATATATAAAACCATTTGTCTTTACAGATGGATGGGAAATGTGAGCGGAGGTGTTAGAATTACGTGAAGTGAGTGAGTGATTGAATTTTGTTTTATGTCAAAGCCATCTAATTTCCAGAATAACAAACTTTTGACTGACCGTACGAACGTCGCACGAACGTTGCACGCCGTCTCGTCCCCAAGTTATCGTAAAGCTATCGTGAGTAAAGCGTGCACTGTATCCAGCATATTTTCGAAATTATCGTATCCCAAAGATATCGTAACGGCGTTAGCAGACACCCGGCTCTTTCAGCCTCCAACAGAAATGAATTCTGAGTGAGAGTTCGGCTCGATATCCTATCTTTGTGCGACATACGGACAGTTTAGAATAGTTTCGATAGTATACCTTTAGCTTATCTTTGAACGTTGATAAGATTTCTTTTAACTAAGATTGTTTCGAAATCTAGTGACCGAGCCATACCAAGTAACACCGTCCTCAATCGGGGCTCACGTGAAGCACAATGTTTACAATGTAGGTGTACTTTCAGAGAGGATGATTTCTGATGTATTTCACGTCAGTTTAATTCGTTATGTTATTCACAACAATTATATAACTGATTGTAACTGAAGGATGTATGATTCTTATCAGTATATATCATGTTTAATGTTAGCAGTGCGATAACATGTCACGATTGGTAAAAATCACGATTGTTGCGTAAATACTGTAGTTGAGTATACATGTTTCGAGAGGAGTGAGTGAATGAGCAATGGCGGATCCAAGGGTTTTTGGGGAAGGGGGTTTCAGGGGTTCGAACCCCCCACTTTAGAAAATCGAATCGAACCCGGGCCTTCGGCGTGACGAGCGAACGCCTAACCCACAAGGCTACCCAGTGGCCCGCTTCTAGTGGAATAGTAAAAGGACGCACATGTGTGGCCTAAGCAAAGTGAAGTTATTCACTGAGTATTCTGTAACACAGAATTGGAAAAAAAACCATCAGAAAATAGAAGATGACTTTTATCAAAATTAATACAATTACACCTTCAACATTTCAGTCGACTTCGGGGCGTTTTTCGACTACATGAAGGACTGGACAGCGGTTAGGAAAACTCACCCCGAGTTGCCGACCTTGACCTTAATGTATGAAGATTTGAAAGAGGTAAGCGTTAACGTTACGTGGTCCCGAGATCGTTTTGAAAATGCATTATGCAAAATATACAGGCTAATGTCAGTATTGAATTGGTTCTGTTCATAGAAGACATCAAGTGGATTTTAAAGATTATTGAATTAATCATTTATGCTTTTGCTACACAAGTGAGAAAGGAATCATCTTATATGGTCCGTTGACCTGCGCTATTAAAGACGCACGATATAATAATTATAAAATCCGATTGTCAAAGTAAACTAGGTTTAATTATTTATTTTATTAGTATGACCTCCCTCCTGTCTTTCAATCAGTGCCTCATATTCACCATACTGCATAGATACGTGTTATGATGAAAACTCCTTATGTTCGTTCAACCACTGAAAATACATCAACACACTCTATGATTAACTAAACCATGGTAGACTCTTAAAACTGTTGATACTGAACGACTTACTGAACTAAATCTGAGAATGCCAATCAAACACTTCTATTCTACAACATTTGTAAGAGATCATCAGCAACGGCTCGTTAATTAAGGAAATGATTCTGTGTATATTATTCTTGTGATAATGTCAGGTAATGTTTAATTTGTTTCAAGATGTGAGGCCCATTTCTGATGTATCCCGCCGAGATATTGCTGGAAAATTGCTAAACGCGGCGTAAAAGTAAACTCATTCACTCATCTGTTTCAGGATCCACTATCCGGCACTCAAACACTTCCATTCTGTGTAAAACATTCACAGCAACGGTTCGTCAAGGAAATGATTCTGTGTAGTTATTTTTGTGATATTGTCAGGCAATATTTCATCTGTTTCAGGATCCACTAACCGGCATTAGGAAGTTAGCAAAGATTTTGAATGTTGAAAAATCAGAGGAAATCTACCACAAAGTAAAAGAGTTGACGAGTTTCAACAAAATGAAAGAAGAGGAGGGCAAATTCTCTAAAGCACTGACGGTTCTGCTGTTATGTACAGAAAAGGTGGGTACATTTGCCGGCACTTGTACATCAAAGTAATCTGGTGATCGTAATTGACCACTGGTAAAGGTCCAGGTTAGAATTGTTCTTCAGCAACCCATGCTTGTCGTAAGAGGCGACAAACGTGATTGGGTGGTCAGGCTCACTGATGTAGTTGTGACACATGTCATCCTATCCCCATTGTGTAGATCGATGCTGATGCTGTCGATCACTGGATCGTCTGGTCCAGTCTCGATTATTTACAGACCGTCGCCATATAGGTGGAATGATGCTGAGTGCGGCGTTAAACAACAAACACACAGGTCTTTGAATGACATTTAAAAGTGATTCACTTAAGGAAGAGTTTTATGGATGTCAACACTTTATTATGATAACGTCTCATAATGAAGAAGGTGGCATCCATAAATCTCTTTCTTAACAAACACACACATAAATTCGCCATTGCCAGTCTCTAAAAGTGCAGGGTTGTGGTTATCCTGACCTCTTAATCTCGACCAGCAAGCTCACACTGAGACTATAGGGAGAACAATCAACAACAGTTACTATTATTTGCTTGGGAACAAGTGAATCCAGGTCGGTGGTACCTAGAACGTTCTGTCCCTCAACCAACACGAAGGATTATGGATCTTCATTGAGGGTCAACGAGCGCCTTTCCGGGAGATGACTATCATGTAATGGAGGAATGTCACATCAGAGCTCGTCACCTTGGTTAGAGGCCATCGCGTCAGCCTACAGTATCAGCGTGACCGTGTACTCACACTACATGCTGAATGAGTCAGCATTTCCCAAGGTCCGAATCGTAACATCATTGCGTTCATAGACAGGTTATGTCTCCGCTCCTAGGTTGGCCAAACTTTCTACAGATGGCCTTGACGTTTGACACGTCAGGTCTGCATCAGCGACAAGGGTCAACTGTGTTGTGTGTATCGCATGTGAACAGTTAGCTGTTTTCCATTGATCCTTTTCATGAATCCACCCATTCACGTATGCCTTATATTTTGATTTTTGAACAAGTATCAGAACGAACCGTTTGGAACGGACATTTAGAAATTTATCAAACATGAAGAATTGTAACTTTGGATCTATGATTCAGTTTAATCGGCAAAATGTTTTACGTACATCTTTTTTAAATTGAGCAGTGGTAGCTCAAATGGACAAATGCCCAAATATGGTCATTACATATTCCTCCTAATACCAGTATTAAACTACGTGTTTAACGAACACGCCTGTAACGAACTGACGGATATAACGAACGATTGTTATGGGTCCCGGCTATATGCTGTACGTTTTAGTCGAAATACCTATATCGAACTACGGTTATAACGAACTATTGTTATGGGCCCGGGTGCATGCTCTTTATTTTAGTCGAACTGCGTGTAACGAACTACGGTTATAACGAACTTAAACCCTGTGGTCCCTTTGAGTTCGTTCTAACCGGTAGTTTACTCGATTTTTATTTAGCCAGATTCTGTACGTATTTTCCCTGTTTCAGGTGAAGTTGGCGACTGGAAAAATTACTTCACCGTGGCCCAGAACGAGGCTTTTGACAGACTATACAAGGAAAACATGGGTGATTGTGACACAAACTTTAGATACTCGCTGAAGTAAGGAACGAAGACCAAGGTGTCAGATGGAAAATGTATACCCATGCTGATAGAAGAACAAGAAACACATTACTACAGAGTGTTACAGGACTCAAGAGGAGAGAATATTTTATTTTGAATATTTGCTGAATTTTGATTACAATTACATTGACATATTTGCGATTTTGAAGGATCACGAGAATATATGGTCCTTCGGTGTAGGTGCTTGTGTTTATACAATGGATCTGTTCTCATATGTTTATATCCGAGTCGAACCCGTATTATCTTGATGTTACATGGAGAACTTTTGGTTCTAGTATTGCTAAGGTCAATATAAAGTTGGTGGTACTTTTTGTTACTTTGTTTCTGTCTTTTTTTGCTTTTTTCTGTTGTTGTTTAACGCCACACTCAGCAGTGTTCCACCCATTGTAAATAGTCGAGTCTGGACCAGACAACCCAGTGATCAACAGCATGAGCATCGATCTACGCAATTGGATGACATGTGTCAACCATGTCAGTGAGTCTGGCCAAATAATCCCATTAGGCACCTCTTACAATAAGCTCAGGTTCCTTAAGACCATTTCTAGCCCGGATCTTCTCGGCTTCCTAATCTTATGTATCTATAGAAGATTTTCAGTTGTAAACGAAATTTAGCAACTTTCATACATTCCATTTTGGGAGTGGTGGATTTCGTGTGCCAAGTTTGAATGAAGGTCTGCAGATTTCATCTTAGACATCTATCTCTACTGAAAACGTATGCTACATACGGCATGCTTGAATTAGAGAGTGTATGCTATATACGGCAAACTGGGAGTAGAGAGCGTATGCTATATACGGCATACTTAAAGTATAGAGTGTATGCTATATACGGAATACTGGAAGTAGAGAGCGTATGACATATACACGGCAAACTGGGAATAAGGGCGTATGCTATATATGGTATACTTGGAGTAGATAGCGTATGCTGTATACAACATACTTGGAGTAGAGAATGTATGCCATATACAACATATTTGGAGTAGCGAGTGTATGCTATATATAACATACTTGAAGTAGAGCGTATATACAACATACTTGAAGCAAAGAGCGTATGCCATATACAACATACTTGAAGTAAAGAGCGTATGCCATATACAACATACTTGAAGTAGAGAGCGTATGCCATATACAACATACTTGAACAGATAGCGTAGGCGTATGCCATACAGCATACTTGAAATAGAGAGCGTATGCCATATACAACATATTTGAAGTAGAGAGCGTATGCCATATATACAACATACTTGATAAGTAGAGAGCGTATGCCATATACAAATATACTTGAAGTAAAGAGCGTATGCCATATACAACATACTTGAAGTAAAGAGCGTATGCCATATACAACATACTTGAAGTGGAGAGCGTATGCCATATACAACATACTTGGAACAGAGAGCGTATGCCATATACAGCATACTTGAAATAGAGAGCGTATGCCATATACAACATATTTGAAGTAGAGAGCGTATGCCATATACAACATACTTGAAGTAGAGAGCGTATGCCATATACAACATACTTAGAGTAGAGAGCGTATGCGATATACAACATACCAGAGGTTGAGAGCGTATGCCATATACATGGAGTAGTCAGCGTATTCTATATACAATATACTAGAAGTAGAGAGCTATGAGATATACCCATTCTTGGAGTAAGAGAGCAGATGCAATATACGACATACTTGGAGTAAAGAACAGGTGCGATGTACGACAAAAAGGTTAGAACTGTTGTGAGAGAGTCAGTGAGTTTATTTAATTCCACAGTCAGCTCCAAGCAGCCAAACAGCTGACTGATACGAACAATGATCCTCGTAACGCTGTCGCCAGGAATACTGGCAAAGACTATTTTCGAAATTATGGTATCCCAGAGGCATCAGAAAGTCCCGTAAAGACCCAGCAACCCATGCTTGTTGTAAGATTTTCACCTTCGCTGACATGGTTGGCACATGTCATCGTTCCCAATTACCTATTGTCTGGTCCAGACTTGATTATTTACTGACTGGCACCATGAAGCTGGCACCATTAGCTGGAGTGCGGCGTGGAACAACAAACAAACAAAATGCATTGTCATAATTTGACGAAAAGGGTACATTCTAATTGTTATTAAGATCCTATATGTACGTTTGCTTTTAACAGATGCACCACAACTGCATGGTCATTAAAATATATAATCTTTCATATTGTGCCAAATTTCATTCATCGTGTGTTTGCTCATAGCCATACATAAAATTTACCACTGTCCGTGGATCGGCATGTATATACTATTTATTCAAGGAGTACTCAATCAGGAGATGGCTATATGAAATAATAGTTTTACCAATTTGCACAGTAAATGGGTCACGGCTATTTCTCACATATAGTAGGAATGTATATAAAATACAACAGAAAATACAGCAGAAAATGTAGATGAGTTTCATGAACCTGTAATATTTAACTCCCCTAATTTCAGTTGACTCTGGATCGTTTACCACATACCTGAAGGACTGGGCTGCAATTAGGACGAACCATCCCGAGGTGCCGACTCTGACCTTGGTGTATGAAGATCTAAAAGAGGTAAGAATTGCTTTTCAAGAAATTACATCTCTAAAATGTTCAGTTTGAATTTGCGCCTTTAAGGTTTTGCTGCACTAACGAGAGAGAGAGACATTTCCAACGGTCGCACCGAATTCGCAGACCAGCGCCGTGACAGACGGTTATTATCGTCGAACTCTTGCAAGTGTCGAAGTATAATCGTCAGCACAATAACCATCCAAAACCCGCAAAGCCTTCATGTTACCATACTGAATAGCATTATGTAGGCAACTTAAATACATTAAGGGGTGGTGGGAAATATGGTTTAAACGTTAGCACATCATGCCAAAGACCCGAGTTTGATTCCACACATGCGAACAATGTGTGTAGCGCATTTCTGGTGTAACCCGCAGTGATATTGCTGGAATATTTACGTTGGCCCCCTGCAAATTAGACACATCGCTGCTTGGCTGTATCTTTCTATCACTAGGTTCATGTAGGCCATTGGTTTGTCGTTTTCAGGATCCACTTGCCGGTATTAGAAAGTTAGCTAAGTTTCTGAATGCTGAGAAATCAGAGGAATTCTACCTAAAAGTAAAAGAGTTGACAAGTTTCAACAAAATGAAGGAAAAGAAAGGAAGCTTAGTCACAGCACCTGACGGTTCACCTGTTATGTACAGAAAAGGTGGGTACATACACCAGCACCTCGACATCTATTGACGTGATGGTATTCATTGATAAAACAGTATATCGAGCATCCCAAGCGTGTCAATGTAAATGTATATATACAGAAAGAAAAGAAACCCCAAGGCTATCTTTAAAACAATTGGTGGTTAGGTTGGTTGGGGTAGGGTGATCCACTAGTTTTGCGGATCTCTCCTTTATTCTTTCCACAACTCGTTGGTGATGTATGTGGTGCGTATGTTGGCATTGACGGACACATCTATCGAGTTAATCCAATGGATGTTCTATCGGCTATGTATCGAATGACATTTAAGTTTGAATTAAGGATGTCAACACTGACCCAGGTCAACTAATGCTTAGTCTCTGAATATATATGATATTGATAGAATCAAATCTTTCTTTTTGAATGAATAAGAGATTCAGAGCCTAAACCTGAGGACATCTAGACTTGTTTCATTTGGGGAGTAAGCATTGCAAAAAGGGCAGGGCGGAAGTGAATATGATGCGGTTCAGGGACTGCGAGGCCGATTATGACACAGGCTGCGTGTGAATGTAGCGTTGTCATGTCGAAACAGGTCCCTCTGTTGGATGGTTATCTGAAAAAAGGTGACGTTGAAGAACTTGATGTGCTGTCACACTCCCCTGAACTACTACCAAGTCAGACCTCTGTGTGAATTAAATGAGTCCCCACACCACCACGCAAGCCCAACGAATCTGTCGACCTGTCGGTGCAAAACGTTCATTTCGATGTCGGTAGACACGCTGTGTTCCATCTCGGCGTTGGAGAAGAAATCGTTATTCATCACTGAAAGAGACTCGCTGCTAGAGTCGACGTTGCTTCATCTCATCTCACTGCTAAAGAAGTCGTCACAAATTCAGGGACAAAAAACTGTCTTCTGGGTATAATCCAATCCTCCTACAATAATTGACTCCTGAATGTTTGGTTCCATATCCTGCTCAAACCAAGGCTAAGGTTCTGCAATCTTGGTGTTATTAGCATGTCGCCATGAAGACTAAAGACCCGGATGTACGATCTCATGCAGGGGTGGGGACTTTTCTCACCCCCAATAAGTCGACAAGTGTATGACAAAACGTTGACCAACGTTTGACGTTTTACAATGTTTGTCACTGCACATGATTGTGACAAGTTGCAGATATATTCGGATTTCAAATTATATAAGTTATTGCTCTTCACAAACTTGCAAATTCGCCATGTGCAATCTGCCACATGAAACATTAGGACAAGGTGTCTAAACATGGAGGGTTGTGGATTACAAGGCCTCTTTATCTCGGCGATTACACAACAGCAACACATACCGAGACTGTGTTGAGAAGACAATGCTGTCACTTGCTTAGAAACAGTTGAATCTAGGACGTCAGAACGTTTCATGTCTTGGGGCTTGTGGAAAGCCTGGTGGTTAAAGCGTTCGCTCCGAAGACCCGGGTTTAATTCCCTACATGGGTATAATGGTTTGAAGCCCTGTAATAACGTTGCTGAAATATTTGTAAAAGTGGAGTAAAATTATACTAAAATTATACTCTCACCGTTCACGCCTCACCAAGCATCCTGGCCGACAAGGGAGAATGTCCGACTCTCGCAGATCAGATAGACGGGTGAAGAGCGTACAGCCCTGGAACGCTACAACCGGGCTTGTCACCTTCTACCAAGGATCACCACTGAAACCTTTATAGCAGAAGATGCATCTCATTTGATTTGGGTATCAGACGGTGAAGAACTGCCTGTGTCAGAAAGTTCTTTGGGCCAGATGATTTGACGGAGATGGCAATTTGACTGATCAAACTCGTCCTTGCCACAGAGTACGGCTCTACCTACAACAGAGAACTGTAGTTCAGCAACGAGTGGTTTCACTTTGGTTGGTTTGTTGTTTAATTCCGCATTCAATAATATTCCAGCTATATGGCGGTGGTCTGTAAATAATCGAGTTTGGGCCACACAACCCGGTGATCAACAGCATCGATCTATGCAAATGGGATACAACGATAATTTGTTATCGCTTTGAGCATACCTGGTGTGGAGTTTAGCGCTATATAAATGGACACATCATTATTAAGTAGAACTTGCTAGGGAACGAAGACGTTCATGTATGTTTCGGTTTTATCTGCTAAATATTTATATTTCAATAAAAGTTGCAGGACAGCTAACATCACAGGTGGACAAATGCCATTTCTAAATGTGTTGAAATACGTTATTCTTGTATTTGTACAAACATGGGTTTATTAGTAAGAGTCTGTACGCATGTTTGTTTCAGGTGAAGTTGACGACTGGAAAAATTACTTCACCGTAGCCCAGAACGAGGCTTTTGACAGACTATACAAGGAAAACATGGCTGGCTGTGACATAAACTTTAGATAGACGCTGAAGTAAGGAACGAAGGCAAAGGCGTCAGATGGGAAATGTATACCCATGCCGATAGGAGAACAAGAACACATTACTACAGAGTACTCCAGGACTGACAGTAAATCTATCAAAAGAGAATATGTCATTATCAATACTTACTGAACATCCATTCCAATTCCATTGTACATATTTTCAAAACGAATGTGCCATTTGTGCCAGTTATGATGTTCGTGAGAATAGCTGGCGCTTTGGTGTAGATGTCGGTGTGTAGACTGTGGATGTGCTTTCATATTTCTATATTAGTGTTAAACCTTCATTAACCTAACGGCGCATAGAGAGATATTAATTCTTCATCCAAAACTGTGTTCCACGGGAGATATTGCTTGTGTGAGATGTAGAGATTATTACACTTCATTTTTCATATCTTGCCGAGACACCAATATCTGACCGAGGCCGTTAGGCTCTTGAAAGATGATTGGTGTATTACGTGAAATTTGCATTGCACGATTTTCATTTTCAAACAAAACAACGCCTAGAAACAAACACTAACAACTATGTGTTGCAAGATGATTGTCGGAATAATGGTCTACAGTGATTTATCGACCTTCTTTAAAACCGTCAAAATCAAGAATAACACCCAATGCCCGTTTATGGGGCTGCTGTGTTGTGCACGTGCATCCCATGCGTTGTGTTTAGGAGTGGTGATAAAGAGAAATGGCGGTGCATTCATTAAATGGTAAATGTTAAAATATTGTTAACGTTTATCCAAAATGAAAAGTCAGGTTTCCCTACTTTTGTTAAGAGTATATATCCGGAGACATCCAACTGTGGGTGTTCTATAGTCTCTTTTTAAGCATATACACATGTATTGCTTCACAAATTCAATTAATCGTGGTACAGTACCAACAAAAAACAAAATGTTGACGATCGATCCCGTTCAGAGGTCAGGCAACAGAATTGGTTAAACAAGGTTCAAAATGAAATAATGGAATTACAGGAATAGTATTATCATTCGTGACATGGTGCTTGTGTAATCAGATGATAAACTTCATAACATACTGAACATCGTTGAAAGCACGTGTAAGGAATTGATATTTTTTGATTGGATAATAACAGAAGGACGACTGACAAAAACAACAACGCAGAAACCCTGTCAGTGAGTCTGGCCATCCAATCCCATTAGGCACCTCTTACAATAAGCACAGGCTCCTTCAGACCATTTCTAGCCCGGATCTTCTCGGATTCCTAACCTATGTATCTATAGAAGATTGTCCGTTGTAAACGAAAGTTAGCAACTTTCATACATTCCATTTTTGGGAGTCGTAGATTCGTGTGCCAAGTTTGAATGAAAGCCTGCAGATTTCATCTTAGACATCTATCTCTACTGAAAACGTATGCTAACATACGGCATGCTTGAATTAGAGAGCCTATGCTATATACGGCAAACTGGGAGTAGACAGCGTATGCTATATATATACGGCATACTTGAATTAGAGAGCGTATGCTATATCCGGCATACTGGGAGTTGAGAGCGTATGCTATATACGGCATACTGGGAGTAGAGAACGTATGCTATATACGACATACTGGGAGTAGAGAGAGTATGCTATATACGACATACTTGAATTAGAGAGCGCATGCTATATATGGCATACTGGGAGTTGAGAGCGTATGCTATATTCGGCAAACTGGGAGTAGAGAGACGTATACTTGAATTAGAGAGCGCATGCTATATATGGCATACTGGGAGTTGAGAGCGTATGCTATATACGTCAAACTGGGAGTAGAGAGCGTATGCTATATACGACATACTTGAATTAGAGAGCGCATGCTATATATGGCATACTGGGAGTTGAGAGCGTATGCTATATACGACATACTGGGAGTAGAGAGAGTATGTTATATACGACATACTTGAATTAGAGAGCGCATGCTATATATGGCATACTGGGAGTTGAGAGCGTATGCTATATACGGCAAACTGGGAGTAGAGAGCGTATGCTATATACGACATACTTGAATTAGAGAGCACATGCTATATACGGCATACTGGCAGTAGAGAGGGTATGCTATATACGGCAAACTGGGAGTAGAGGGCGTATGCTATATACGACAAACTTGGAGTAGAGGGCGTCTGCTATATACGACATACTTGAATTAGACAGCGTATGCTATATACGGCATACTGGGAGTAGAGGGCGTATGCTATATACGCCATACTTGAAGAAGAGAGTGTATGCTGTATACAACATACTTGAAGTAGAGAGTGTATGCTATATATAACATACTTGAAGTAGAGAGCGAATGCCATATACAACATACCTGAAGTAGAGAGCGAATGCCATATACAACATACTTGAAGTAGAGAGTGTATGCCATATATATCATACTTGAAGTAGGGAGCGAATGCCATATACAGCATACTTGAAGTAGAGAGTGTATGCCATATACAACATATTTGAAGTAGAGAGCGTATGCCATATACAACATACTTGAAGTAGAGAGCGAATGCCATATACAACATACTTGAAGTAGAGAGCGAATGCCATATACAACATACTTGAAGTAGAGAGTGTATGCCATATACAACATATTTGAAGTAAAGAGCGTATGCCATATACAACATATTTGAAGTAGAGAGCGAATGCCATATACAACATATTTGAAGTAGAGAGCGTATGCCATATACAACATACTTGAAGTAGAGAGTGTATGCCATATACAACATATTTGAAGTAAAGAGCGTATGCCATATTCAACATGCTTGGAGTTGAGAGTGTATGCGATATACAACATACCGGAGGTTGAGAGCGTATGCCATATACATGGAGTAGTCAGCGTATGCTATATACAATATATTAGAAGTAGAAAGCTATGAGATATACCCCATTCTTGGAGTACAGAGCAGATGCGACATATGAAATACTTGGAGTAGAGAACAGGTGCGATGTACGACATACACTCACCCAAAAAAGAAACGCATATAGGAATTCCAACTGTATTTTTATGTTTATTTTGAAACATCTTGTAGGCTTTATGAGTCAATGAAATATAGCGAAATTGCACACTGGGAATGCAGACTTATCCGTCTTTGGCACCAACTCGAGGAACGTCAGTTTGAGTGTCACATGGAGACGTGTGGTGGCGCTGAAGTCAATACCTCGTGTGACCACCGTGGGCATCCAGAACTGCACGGTAACGCCTCAGCATCGAACGAATAAGTCGCAGAATCTCGTGTTGCCCAGTCGCAGCCCACTCTGCCTGTAGTGCCTGTGCGAGTTGCTGAAGTGTCTGGGGCTGAGGGTTACAGCGCCGCACCCATCTGTCCAGGGCATCCCACAGATGTTCGATCGGATTGAAGTCCGGTGATCTTGAGGGCCAGGGGAGCACATTGATGTTGTGGTTCTGGAGGAAGTCTCTAGTGTGACGTGCTGTGTGGGGCCTGGCATTGTCCTGTTGAAACAACTCCCTCTGGCGATCAATGATTCGAAGGAGGTGTGGGCGTAGGATTTCGTCACAGTACCATGGAGCTGTCAGGTTGCCCTGGATCATCACCAAATCACTTCTATGGCAGGTGATCGCTCCCCACATCATAACATTGCCCCGGCCGAATCTGTCCACCTAGGGAACACAAGCGTCAGCGAAACGTTCACGTCGACGTCTGTACACCCGCATTCTTCCATCGCGTCGTTCCAATAGAAATCGTGTTTCATCACTGAACCAGATTCTACGCCAATTCGGTAAGTTCCAGGCCTGAACATTGGTGCACCAATGAACTCGATGTCGACGATGTTGTTGTCGAAGCACAGGGCCAAATTAAGGTCTTCTGGCACATAAACCAGCCTCTCTCAACCTGTTCCTGACGGCCTGTGCAAAAAGCCTCCTCAATCCGGGTATTTGTCGAGCGGTACTGGTTGCCATAGCTGTTCGATGACGCAGGTGATGTACCCGGATGTAGCGATCCTGCGCCGCAGTGGTCGCTCGAGGTCGCCCACTACGAGGGGCATCTGCTACTGCATTCTGCCAGCGATATCTCTCCCAGAGCCGTGAAATGGTGCTTTGGTGAACATTCATGCGTCGGGCAACTGCACGTTGAGACTGGCCAGCATCAAGCAAACCAATGGCGATATGACGGTTGGCTTCATTTAGACTTGGCATTTTGCGTTCGTCAACAATATTCCAAATACAGCAAATAATCGACAGACAGCGATCAACCTTTTATACCCATCATTGAGACAATATGATCCCCAACTTTCACGTGCATTGCATGTGAATTGAGTATTCTGTGACACTACACACCGAAATTGAAAATCATGCTGTTAAATACGGGTATTTCACGGATGGTGCGTTTTGTTGTGATGTTTCAAAACATAAACACCATAGGACTCATAAACAGACCAAAACCTTTTGTAAAATGAATCACGTTTTAATTCATTGCCACATGAAATTGCTTTTTTCATGATGCGTTTCTCTTTTGGGAGAGTATACTTAGATTAGAGGGCCGTGAGATATGTGACGGACTTGGTGCATCGACTGCCAGCTACCTGTATTATCAGTAACAGCGAGTCTAGTCATGCAATGCGTATCTGCAACACAGATTACTCAGCACATATTACGAATGATCACAGTTTGTGACTCATGAAAAGAGGATATACCCTTGACGAAAGCCTAGAGATTTAGTCGTTGGGAATTCTACCAGACATTTGGTAAGTAGAAGGACATAACTTGAGATTTCAGTACCACAATGTTTACAAACTTGCCACAAAACATTCTTTCTTCAACGTCGGGATCTGTTTGATTGGCATTTTAGAAGTTGATGAATAATAAGAAAGTTATGATACTTTATGGATAACAACTGGATTACAAGCCCTCAATCAACAGAGACCAAGGATATCTCATCCCAGCCACCTACAATGTACTGATAAAAGCAACGGAGCAGAGCACTCAAGCCATCCTTGCTAATTAATGCCATCTGCTGTGTATATATACTTTGTTCCACCTCTTCAACAGCTGGCTTCCTTCTATCGTTAGTGCATTATTACTAATACCCATTGTTGTTGTTGTTGTTGTTAATCCCTTTGAGACCTCATGTTGTCTTACTTAATCCCTGTTAGATGTGCATAAGTCGGTTGTGTGTTGTTACTTCACTCTTCAGTATATCTATGCGGAAACGAGACATGATAATATAATAAAAAAGTTGTTATCCATAAAGTATCATACCTTTCTCATTTAGTGAATGCTCAACAATATTTCAGCTATATCAGTGTTGTCTGCAAGTAATCAAGTCTACTTGATTACTGGATGTCTGATCTAGGGCTTGAGTGCTCTAGATCAGACAATCCAGTGATTGACATCATGAGCACCAGGCTCAGCAATCCGGATACGATGACATGCATCTTGTTGACTCCAAATTTGAAACTAAACAGTCAACTGGGAAGTGTGAAACAAACAATCAAAAAACAACAAAGACATGTGCTGTAACTAACTAAAACATTCACAAAGTAACGAAGTTCAATCAAAATCCAAACTGGAAAAGAGGGCATGGCAGGGAGTGCGCATTGATTTATGTTTAAACAAAATTCAAATCATGTCTGCAGTCAAACTGATTACACTGAGCCAACTGGTGATAATGCATCAGCTATAATATTGTCTTTGCCTTCAATATGTTCCATGCTTATATCAAATCCCTGCAAAGACAAGGAACAGTCCAATGGGCGTTGTTTTATTGTTCTGCATAAACTCAGTGGATTGTGATCAGTGTGTACGTGAATAGGAAATAATGTAGGACGACGGTACACTTCAAACTGCTGCAGACCTTAGGACAATGAAAGAGTTTCTTTTCAACAGTGGAATGATTGCCCTGAAAAAAATTACCCCAGGGTAATCAAAACCTGGTGAATCTTCCTGCAGCAGGATGTGTCCAGCACCAATGTGGCTAGTTTTTTCAAAATTCTGGTGCCTGGAGTAAAGGAACATTCGTCAGAATGGCCTTAATTTTTCTCAAGAGCAGCCTGACAATTGATGTCCCAAACCAATTTCTCTCTTTTGCCAAGCAAGTGAGACATTTAGACATTTCCAAGGAATCCAAGTTCCTTCTTGCTTTGGAGAACTGGGATGTTTGAAATAGATTCCACCTTCAACCAATTGTGTATTACCTGACCTCACCTAACAATTGTGTCTGTGCAAATTCACAGTTGGCTTCGATGAGTCTTTAGAAGGGGGCACAGATCTTCTCCAGGTGTACTTTCCATCCAATGGAATGAGTGATGGTATCAAAAATATAGGAACCAACTCCCCATCGGATTGCCGGCAATATCGTTAATGACAGGCATGAAGGTGGCTGCAGCATTATTGAGACTAAATGGCATACCTTTCTGTTGATAAAATCTATCTGGAATCTAAAAAGCTGTAATCCACCTGGTAAGCTGTCAGTGGAATCTGCCAATACCCCTTCATTACTTCAAACTTCCTGACGTACTTGGCTTCACCAATTCTGTTGGTAAGAGTTAGTCTTAGTAACAGCGTTCACAAGTTTCATGTCGGTAGAGCATCTGCTTCCAATCTCAACTATTCTTTTTCCTTTTTACTTTCTCAAAAGGACTTGTTCTTTAGAGGATGGCTGACAAACTTCTCTATAGTGAACATCACTGTGATATTTGCTTTCACTCAATGTCAGACAAAACAATTAACATCCAGTAATAATGACAAATAATTTAGTGAGATATAAAGTTCTATTCCTGACAAGCTCCCAGTGTCTGTTGCTGAGACTCCTCATTAAAAGGTAATAATATATGCAGATTACTTTAGAATGTGCTGGTCCAAAACATTAGTTCCGAATGATATGCCTGTAGGAAAGGGACCCCTCAAACATTCACAACTGCTGTTGACATCTCATTGTAACAAGTTCCTGGGGTGCCAAACTGAAGCATATCCAACCACTGCACCTCAGACTGCTAAGCTAGACATATGATCTCAGTGACGTCAATGTTTTATGCTATCTATTTGTCCACTTGTTGATGAAATCAGAAGTCTGTATCATCGACTCATTTTACCTCCTTATATTCCAAGAACCTTCAAAATTTGTAACCAGTACATATTAACTGCGAAATGACTTTTCAGGGGGGAAGAAAAAAAGAACACCGGTACACAAGTAAAGTTAAGTCTGCAGCTTCAGTGCCAAGGTCTACGTAATAATTGCGAGAGTTTATGAATCAATGAATACAAAGTGCTACTGTGTATTATTCCATCTTTCATGTTGGTATGCAAATGCTAACGTTTCTAAAACGATAAAACGATGTTCGATAATTTCCCACTTCAATCAAACCACACGAAAAGTAAAATACGATGTTATAAAAAGTGCCAGGGTCACAAATGTCAAAGTTCTTTCACACCGTAGTTGAAACCCGAGAAATCTAGAAACTGACATGTCACAGAAACACTGAATGGTCATCGCGGTCGGTTCCAAATTTAAATGAGATGTATCTACTCTTCAAAGGGACATCAAATTTCAAAACACAAGAGGGTTTTTGTTCCCCCTTTTGTTGCAGGTGAGGATGTCAGGCATAAAGATCCCGGATGCTGGTGGGGACAGCATCACTTTACTGAAAGTGGATGGTCATTTGTACCCAAAGTCCCCTGTTGATTCTCAAGTTGACGCCATCAGAGGGATCCGAGACCTACCCGTCAGAGAAGATGACGTATTTATCTGCGCTTATCCTAAATGTGGTGAGCAGTCAAAAGTAGCTTCTATTTTTCCCTTGCTAAAAATTCTTTTTACAAAGAATATATTGATCAATCTTTGAATGAAACACTTTCCTCTTATAGAAGTGTTTGTGAGAGGAAATGTCTCGGGGAAGGACAGCAAGCACGTCAAGTTAACATTTCCTTGTATGTAGAAATCCTAGATGATTTTCACCATAAGCTAATTATTAGTTCCTCCAGTTATGATGTGTCTGAATTGATACTATCTTCATTAGCATTCAAACAGAAACACCTATCTTGAAGAATATTGTCAACTGATTTACATTTGTAGATAACATTCTCATGTGTTAGTGGGTGAGTTGTGCGTGAGTATTCCAGTTCCAGAATGCCGAGCCGACCTGTATTCCACTGTTTGGGCATTATTTAGACACATGTGTTGGGCACAAATAAAACCATCAGAAATAGGACTGAGAAGGTGATTTTGTCACTTTTAGCAATATTCTAGCAATATCAAGGCGGCGGACACCAGACACAGGCTTAGCCCATTGTTAACGCGTATGTTATCGATGCCAATTCCTCGACTGTTCCATCTCTTCTCAAAACAGTGACTGATCTTTGTTGTGATATTTCAGGCACTCACTGGGTCTGGGAAATGGTCCGTCTCCTTCTGTTGGAAGACACGGAAACTGTTATAAGAAAGGAGAAATTGATGCTAGAGTTCTTTGGAAAAGATGTCTTGGAGAATTTCCCGTCCCCGCGGGTCTTAAACACGCACTGTCTTGTTGAACAGCTGCCACGTGGTGTGTTTGAGAAGAAGTGCAAAATAATCTACATCCTCCGAAACCCCAAGGACATGGCAGTGTCGTTCTTCCACCACCACACAAAACTGCCAAAAATTTATGAATATGATGGGAAATGGGAAAACCATTTATCTTTACTGATGGATGGAAAAGGTTAGAGCTATTGCTAGAGAGTTAGTGAGTGAGCTGTTTCATGCCGAAGTCAGCTCCAGGTGACAGATAGTATGATACCCGTAAAATCTATCGCCAGGGAGTTGTGGACTGTTTTTCGAAATTACCCTATCCCTTAAACATCGGAAGGTCCCGTGAAAATCCGGGTTACACACTGTCAACAGTAACCCATGCGACTTACGGAAGCGCGTGGTCAGACTCGCTGACTTGGTTGACACATGTCATCGTATCCCAAATGCGTAGATTGATGCTCATGCTGTTGATCAGTTGATTATCTTGTCCAGACTCGATTATTTACAGACTGCCACCATATACCTGGAATATTGCTGAGTTCGGCGTTAAACAATAAACAAGCAAACAAAAACGCTTGTCATGATTTGTCCCTGCGGGTATATTCTTATGGTTAATATGACGCAACATATGTTTGCTCTTAACATTCATAACTGCGTTTTCAGTAGAATATATAATAATTCCTAATGAGCCAAATTTCATTCACCGTGGCGATACATAATAATTACCACTGTCCGTAGATCGGCGTGTATACGCTATTCATTCCTACTCCTTGAGTAGTATTCCGCTAGGAAATAGCTACATGACATCATTGTTTTACTGTTTACAAAGTAAATGGGTCAAGGGTATTTCTCATGCATAGAATCGATAGAAAGTATTTAGGTAAAATACAACAGCAAATATAAGATGAGTTTCATAAGCCCGTAATATTAAACCCTCATTTCAGTTGACTTCGGGTCGTTTTTCACATACTTGAAGGACTGGGCTGCGGTTGGGAAGACCCACCCCGAGGTGCCAACCTTGACCCTGGTGTATGAAGATCTAAAAGAGGTAACAATTAACTTCACGTGATCTACTTAAAACTGCACAGAGCAGTCGACTTGGGCTTATGAGAAAGAGAAATCCATTAGCTGGATCTCTGAGATGCTTTGTTTGAACTGAGCCTTCATGGTTTTGCTGCGTAAATGAGGGAGACCATTTATTCAAATATTTATTACCTTTATTCAAAGTGTCATGACCTTTAATTTCTTGAGTTGGTTCGGGAACCTGTCTGTCCAGAATTAAAGCAAACTCTCAAAAATCGTAAACACTGTGTCTAAAATTATTGGGCTTCCTATCGAAAGTATCGGCAGTTGTTATGAGCAGCAAATTTCAAAAAAGGCAAACAAAATTCTAAGTGATCCTACTCACATACCTTTTTCGGTATATTCATCATTACCTCTGGACGCAGGCTGTGTATACCGAGTTTTAGATCAAACAGGGTTCGCCATTCATTTGTTCCAGCTAGTATTAGATGTATTAACAACAAACTCAATGAATGACTTGTCTTCCAACTGTCCAAATTCTAGTCAATATCAATGTTTACTAAATTGATGTATTCATATCCTGATTATTTTGTTATATATTGTTATGTTATATATGTTATATATGGCTGCTTTATGAAAGAAAAAATGGAGAACTGCATCTTATCTTATCTTGATTTGAAATGGTCGCGCCTGATTCACAGACGAAACACTAAGACGGACTCTATTAGGAGTCGAACACTTGCGAGTGTCAAAGTAAGACATGTTTATCATACCAAATAGCATTATGTAGGCACTCAGCAATATTCCAGCTATATGTCGGCGGTCTGTAAATAATCGAATCTGGACCAGACAATCCAGTAATCAACAACATGAGCATCCATCTGGGCAATTGGAAACCGATGACATGTGTCAACCAAGTCAGCGATCCTGACCACCCGATCCCGTTAGTCGCCTCTTACAACAAACATGGGTTACTGAAGGCCAATATTCTAACCCGGACCTTCACGAGTTGTAGGATTTGTGAGAGGTACTGAGTCGGTGTGAGCTCGAATGCCACACCTAGCGCGTAAAGGAACTCTATTTAGTCTATTTATTTTCATCTAGGCGTTGGAGGGAAAAATCGTGAATCATTCACGAACTAGTATTACTGTAATACATGTCATCGTATCCCAACTGCGTAGATCGATGTTCATGCTGTTGATCACTGGATGTGCAGCGTGAAACAACAAACGAACAAATAATAATATCATCATTTTGCGGTTGTGTCGAATCTCGAAGTATTTACCTTCAACACACATCCTTCGATACAATGCTGTTTGACCTTATCTTTCTACCACAGGGGTAATGTAGGCCATTAATTTGGTCTGTTTCAGGATCCACTTGCCGGTATTAGAAAGGTAGCAAAGTTTCTGAATGTTGAGAAATCAGAAGAATTCTACCTTAAAGTAAAGGAGTTGACGAGTTTCAACAAAATGAAGGAAAGGAAAGGAGGTTTAGTCGCCACACCTGATGGTTCCCCTGTTATGTACAGAAAAGGTTGGTACACTCGCCTGCACTTGGACATCATTCATGGTATTCATTGCTAAAAACAATATCGAGCACCCTGCAGATTGTCAATAGACATACAGAACAGGAAAGAGACGCCTATATTCTGACTTTGAAAAATAGTGTTACATTTAGAAATTTAATTTAATTTTATTTACACAAGAGTGACATTTATCGTGGTTATAGTCACGAGAGAGAGAGAGAGAGAGAGAGAGAGAGAGAGAGAGAGAGAGAGAGAGAGAGAGAGAGAGAGAGAGAGAGAGAGAGAGAGAGAGAGAGAGAGACAGAGAGACAGACAGACAGACAGAGAAAGTGAGTGAGTTAATTTAACGTCAGAGAGCCATATCGTGACGACAGAGAGAGAGAGAGAGAGAGAGAGAGAGAGAGAGAGAGAGAGAGAGAGTTGCGATCATTATCATTACTCCGCACCATAAGCATACTGATTCTGTCATATCTAGTTTTCCTTTATTCCTAACGCGTTGGTCGATGTTGCTCTGTAAACTTATTTTATTAGTTTATCAACACAAGTTAACGAACATGCAAATAACATTGTTCAATTGAAAATAATTACGTTTCATGAATATACTAAATCATAATTCTCATTATCTCCCATTCGTACGTTTCTTATTCTAATACCTAGGTCAGGGTTAACGTTAAGATACTGTTACGTGCCATTTCTGACCTGAGTCAGTACAGTGTAAGCAGTCTTCACTTAGAACTTTGACGGTGCTTGTGTGTTTCCAGTGTGCCACCTTGCTAAATATATAAAGCCCCTAGCCCCACCCACTAAACAGGAAGACACGCAAAATGAATTAATTCTTGACAGAATGTTACACATAGCGATGACTCATGAGTATCATGTAATTTACAGCCCATTTGGCTCTAAAGCGGACCGATGAATTGCAATCTAGCTCGAAACTAATAAACATGTTATATTCAATGAAACGCTGATCATAATCAAAACATAAGACCAACTCTGTGAGGTTTTGCAGAATTTATGCAGTAAAGTTGTTTAATAAGCTATCATCAAAATGTTGACACAGTTCACTATTTGTTACGAGGGAGGAATGCAGAGAAAGGGACAGCCAGGTGTTCGAGGAGAACGTGCACAAGTGCCGACAACGTTATTGATTCATTTACCTGTGCTGTGCCGTCTCCATTCTTTCTCGCACACCTGGCTGTCCCTTTCTTTGTACTCCTCCCTCGTAACAAATAGTGAACTGTGTAAATATTTTAATGATAGTTTGTTAAACAACTTGTTTTATTCTTTGACATAAATTCTGCAAAAACCTCACAGAGTTGGTCTGATGTTTTGATTATGATCAGCGTTTCATTGAATATAACATGTTTATTAGTTAGATTGCAATTCATCGGTCCGCTTTTGAGTCAAACGGACTGTAGTGGTTCAAACTTATCATCACATGTGCATAAACAGGTGAAGCGACATGCAGTTCACAAACGTGCAAATTCGCCTTTGCCATTTGTTGGATCTGCTATGTGACGAGAGGTTTGTGAAACGGGACCAAGGTCTCTAAACGCGGAGGGTTGTGGTTTACCTGGCCTCTTTATCTCGGCGATTACACAACAGCAAACACAAACCGAGACCTTGTGGAGAAGACAATGCTGTCACTTACTTAGAAACAAGTGAATCCAGGTCGTCAGAGCGTTTCACGTCTGTAGCGATGGGGTAGAATAGTGGTTAAAACGTCCACTCCTCACGCGGAAGACCCGGGTTTGATTTCCCACATGGGTACAATGTTTGAAGCCCATTTTGGTGTCCCCTGTAATAATACTGCTGGAATATTTGTAAAGGTGGAGTAAAATTATACTCTCACGGTTCACGCCTCACCAAGCATCCTTGCTGACAAGGGACGATATCATCGATGTCCGACTCTCGCAGATCAGGTAGACAGATGAAGCCGAGGAACACAAGAACAGGGCTTGTCACCAACTAGAAAGGACAACCACTGAAATCTTTATAGCATAAGACTCATCTCATCTGATTCGGGTATCTGATTCGGGTATCAGGCGCACAGGCCCTCGTGTGTTTGCGAGGATTAACGATTAAAGACAAAATATTGAGATGCCCCCCGACTCGAAATCCTTCACAGGACAATAAATCATTTTATGATTTAGTGTACTGTGAAGCACTTGGAGTTTGGGGTCATCCCAAAAAGTTATTTATGGTTTGTTTGTTTTTTGGGTTGTTTTTTGTTTGTTTTTTTATTTTTGTTTTATTTGATTGTTTGTTGTTGCTTTTTATCTATAATTTTCGCAAAGACACGAGGGCCTGTGTCAGACGGTGAAGAACTGCCTGTGTCAGAAAGGTCTTTGAGCCAGATGATTTGACGGAGATGTCAGTTTGACTGACCATACTCGCCCAAGGCCACAAAATACGGCTCCACCTACAACGGAGAACTGTATTTCAGCAACGAGTGGTTTCACTTTGGTTGGTTTGTTGTTTAACTCCTCATTCAGTAATATTCCAGCTATATGGCGGCGGTCTGTAAATAATCGAGTTTGGGCCAGACAATCCAGTGATCAACAGCATGAGCATCAATCTAAAGCAATTGGGATACCGCGATATGTGTCAACCAATTCAGCGAGCCTGACCACCCGCTTGCGTTAGTCACCTCTTACGACAAGTATGGGTTGCTAAAAACCTATTCTTACCCGGATCTTCACGGGTCTGTTGTTTGTGCAAAATTAAGATATCAGGTGTGTAGACGTCTACCAATTTCAGCGGAGGTGTGAGCAGCAATCTCGCACAGCGCCAGCCTGGTTCACGTTCGGGACGGACAACTTAGCAGCACAAACATTGAAAGATGAAAATCTGCACTTGTATTATAGTTTGTTTGCATGTACTTTCTATTGAGTCCTGAGAGTTTCTAGGACTTCAGTCCTGCTCCACAGCGAAGCACATGTGATACATGTGGTCTCACCTTAGGCAAGTGTGTTTGTTCAAAATTGCCTCTGTTCACCCAGCAGAAAATGGGTACCCGGTGGGATAAGTCATATGACTATAACCTTCTAGCGCCTAACAGGGAGCTTGGGTTATCGGGGCAATAATGTGCTGTGCTTTGATTCATTGCTAGTTCTATGAACATACCTGGTGTGACGTTATTCTTCCATTTGTACAAACATTGGTTTATTAGTGAGATTTTGTACGCATGTTTCTTTCAGGTGAAGTTGGTGACTGGAAAAATTACTTCACCGTAGCCCAGAACGAGGCTTTTGACAGACTATACAAGGAAAACATGGCTGGCTGTGACATAAACTTTAGATACACGCTGAAGTAAGGAACGACGACCAAGGTGTCAGATGGGAAATGTATACCCATGCCGATAGAAGAATAAGAAACACATTACTACGGAGTACTACAGGACTAAGTCTAGCATATGATTTTGAATACATTCTGAACATTCCATTGTACATATTTACAAAACTAAATGTGCGATTTGTGCCAATTATGGTTTTCACGAGAATATCTGGCGCTTTAGTGTAGGTGAATGTGTGTAGACAATGGATGTGTTTTCATATTTTCATGTTTCTATGTTTCAAAAAACAACAACCGTTACACCCGATTTTTCAATGTAGTTAATAAACAAATTGTGTTGTTCATTGGCCATTGAGCTACAGCATTCATTCTGAGCTTTGGATGGGCTGCTTTCTATATTACAAAATGTCATTGAAAGGAGAAAATGTGGGTGAGTTTTGATTTATGCCACTTTTAGCATTATTCTAGCAATATCACAGCGGGGACACCAGAAAAGGGCTTCAAACATTGTACCCATGTGGAGAATCGAACCCGGTTTTTTTTCTGTGACAAGCGAACGTTTTAACCACCAAGCTACCCCACACGCCCTTAAAGAGAAAATTAATGAAATGTCAAACATACAGAGAAACTTTGCTGACACAAAACTATGAATAAATATGAATAGGTTTTTTCAAACCCTGTGGGTGCAGGCTGCTTTGCTCGTGACAAATTGTAGAACCACTCAATGTTTAGTAAAACTGTTTAAAACTCATATAGGAATATAGATTCAGGCTATCTCTTTATATGTTGGGGGCTGTGGGGAATATTGCTAAAAGTGGGGTAAAACCTTACACACTCACTCACCCACTCACTCTTAATATGTTGGTGACAAGTGCAACACACGTGAATGGGCGAGGTCTTAGAGGCTGAGACGTTTGGCAAACACCAAATGATCCAAATATAATTATTCTTCACATTTTGGGACATACACAGAAATTCTCAGAGACAATTGTCGAAGCCAGATATGTTTTATTCCTTTTAGATGCGTTTGTTAACACATTAATTACACATGAACAACAGAATAAAAACACATTATTTTATTTTACTTTTACTCTTTACTTTCCAATGTTTTGGAGTGCCGCATTCTTGTACTAAGTTTGAATAAAAGTCTGCCGATTTCAGCTCAACCTCACCCATGAAGGCCCGGGTTAGAATATTAATCTTCAGTAACCCATGTTTGTCGTAAGAGGCGACTGACGGGATCGGTTGGTCAGGCTTGCTGACTTGGTTGACACATGTCATCGGTTCCCAATTGCGCAGATCGATGCTCATGCTGTTTATTACTGGATTATCTGGTAAAGACTCGATTATTTACAGACCGCCGCCATAGAGCTGGAATATTGCTGAGTGCAGCGTAAAACTAAACTCACTCACTTAGCTTAACATGAATCTCTACTGAGTGCGTATGCGATGTACGCACACGTGGGGTTGAGAACATATATGATATACGACATACTTGGTGCATCGAAATGACAGCTGCACATGATCGTCAGTAACAGTCTAGTGGCGCAACACAGATTACTCAGCACATTCCACAAGGGGATATGTTAGTGACGCGTGCAAAAGTGAAGGGCAGTGAGTGAAGCCTAGGGACAGTGAGGAGTCGTTGAGAATTCTACCAGACGTTTGGTAAGTGGAAGAGCCTAACTTTAGATTCCAGTACGAAAATGTTTTAAATTACAAACACGTCACAAACCCCTAATTTGTGAGGTGAGGTGAGGTGAAATTGGGTTTTACGTCGTGCTTGAGAATATTTCGCTCATATGACGACGTGCATGCGTGTGTATGTGTATGTGCGGCTGCTTGTACTAGCCCAGACTTGTTGTACCCATTAATGCCGAGCGCCAGGCAGGGACCAACAAGTACCATATTTTAACGTCTTTTTGTATGACGCGGTCGGGGATCGAACCCGCGACCTTCCGCTCTCCCCTAATTTGTGAAATGTGTTGCAGCCTGTGACGTTTACCAAGCAGCAGGTTTACTTTGGTCATCGAGTGTACATATGCTATCCCTATGCTGTCACTGATTAAGGGCAATAGTTGGTTGGTTGGTTTGTTGTTTAAGGCCGCACTCAGCAATATTCCAGCTATATGGCGGCGATTTATAGATAATCGAGTAGGGACAATCATGTGATAAACAGCATGAGCATCTAACATATGTTATATTTGGGATTACACTTTCTTAGTAAAGTACAGATTCTAGTACTTTTGGGGGTTTGTCCCATCCGGGATTCGAACCCACACCCTCAGAGTCAGGCACCTAATCGCCAGCACACAAAGTCAGACGCCTAGACCGCTCAGCCACCGCGACTTCCACAAAAATGGATAACTGGTAGTCTAGACTGCGGACTTTGTGTACCCCTCTGATAATTGTTAATTGGCACGGCCCCCACGTCCGAAAGCTATGAAATACACAATGCCATTTTTAGAAAGTGGTCAAATGTAACAAATGTTATATTTGGGATTACACTTTCTTAGTAAAGTATTTTACTAAGAAAGTGTAATCCCAAATATACTTTCTTAGTAAAGTATTTCGCTAAGAAAGTGTAATCCCCAATATATCATTTGTTACATTTGACCACTTTCTAAAATGGCATTGTGTATTTTATAGCATGAGCATCGATCTACACAGTTTGGATACAATGACATGTGTCAACCAAGTCAGCGAAACTGACCAACCGATCCCGTAAGTCGCCTTTCACAACAAGCATGGGTTGATGCGACCGATTCTAACCTGAATCATCACGGCCGATTAAGTGCAGCAATATTGGGGGCTTTCAATATTTGTTAGTACCACTAACACCCGCAATGCATACGCAGGCACTTGATGGTATTTGATGTCTAATACAATCTTATTCTTGTTAACCAGTGTTATATACAGCAGGCGAGTTATAAAAGGAATGACGTTATGTCATCTATTTTTGGACGTGATGTACAAATATCGAATTTCTATCCAAATGGGTAATATTTTTATTTCATGTAGTAAGCGTTATATACGCGTCATACATAGGTCCAAATTTCGTAAAACTGACAAGAAGCAGGCAATCTTGGCAATGCCTATTCGTGGCTAAGATTGGTGACATTCAATGACATACTGAGGGAACAAAATAAGGGATCACATGAAAACACAAGTGTTCCTTTCTTTTTTTCCAGGTTTCTGCACAACCTTTCTGATCTTTGTGATGTTTGTGAAATTTCTATGACAAATAACAAAAAGGATGACGAGTCTGGGGTATTTTCCTGCAGCAGGACGTGTCCATCACCAATGTGACTAGCATTTATGACCAATTTGATAAGTTTTTCAAATTCTGGTGCAAGGAGAAAAGATCAGCCTGGCAAGTGAGGACCTAAACAAATTTCTCTCTTTTGCCAAACAAATTAGTGTGAGGGGCTGCCACAAGTGAGACATTTAGACAAGATTTAAGATAGGAACCAGCCATTCCAAGAAATCCAAGAATTTTTAAATAGATTCCAGCTTCACTTGAACCAGCTGTGTCCCACCGTATTATTGTACCTCTGTCAGTGCAAATTCACAGTTCGTTTGCCTTCTGTGAACCTTTTCAAAGAATTCACGGATCCTCTCCACGTGTACCTCCCATGAGTAATGGTATCATCGATGCAGGCACCAGCTCCCACCAGATTGCTAGTTATGGTGTTGATAACATTCATGAAGGTGGCTGCAGCATATTTTTGTATTGCTAAAGTCTATCTGGAATCACAAAAGCCTTTATTCGGTTGGCAAGCTCTGACAGTGGAATCTGCCAATATCCCTTCATTAGGTCAAACTTGCTGATGCACTTGGCTTCACCAATTCTGTGATTGATTGTTGGTAAGAGTTAGTCCTAGTAACAGCGTTCACATGTTACATGTCGGTACAGCAATTGCTTCCGAATCTCAACTTTTCCTTTTTCAAAATATCATGTTATTGATTTGTTTGTTTGTTTATGAAATCAGAAATCAATATCAATACCATAGTGGTTAACGTTTTACTTCCTTATATTCCAAGAACCTGCAAGATATGTAAGCGGGACACATTATATTTCATGGGGAACAAAAAGTCTGCATACATCAGTGCCAAGGCCTACATGATATTTGCCAGAGTTTTTAAGTCAATGAGTGCAAAGTACTACTGTGTACTGTTCCATGTTTCACGATTGTATGGGAATGCTAACGTATATAAAACACTTTATAATTTCCACATGAATCAAATCACACGAAAAGTAAACTATAATTTCAATTTCATATCATGGTGTCATCGAAATTCGAGATATCAAGAAACTGTCATGTCACAGAAATGAATGGTCAATGCAGTCGGTTCCAAATTTAAATAAGAAGAGGCGTCTACTCTTCAGTGGGACATCAAATTGCAAAATACAAGCGTCTTTTTCCCCTCTTTTTTGGCAGGTGAAGATGTCACTCATAAAGATCCCGGATGCTGGTGGGGAGAGCATCACTTACCTGAAAGTGGATGGTCATTTGTTCGCAAGGGCCTCCGTTGATTCTCAAGCTGACGTCATCAGAGGGATCCGAGACCTACCCGTCAGAGAGGATGACGTCTATATATGTGCCTATCCTAAATGTGGTGAGCAGTCAAGAAATAGGTGCTATATTTCCCCTGCTAACATTTCTTTTTACAAACCAAATATTGATTAATCCTTCAATCAAACAATCTCTTAAAGAGTTTTGTGAGAGGAAATGTCTTCGTTTACAAAAGACAGCACGTCGTATTAACATTTCCTTGTGTGAAGAAATTCTGGATGATTTTCAACATATGCTAGTTATTAGTTGTTACAGTTATGATGTGGCTGATTCGCTGAAATATTTAAAATATCTTCACAAACTTGTGACCCATGAAGATTTGGGTTAGAATTAATCTTCAGTGAACCATGCTTGTTGTATGAGGCGACTAACGAGATCAGGTGGTCAGACTCGATGACTTGGTTGATACATGTCATCATATTCCAATTGCGTAGATCGATGCCGATGATATTTGATCACAAGATTGTCTGGTCCAGACACGATTATTTACAGACGGCCGCCATATAGCTGGAATATTGCTGAGTGTGGCGTAAAACTAAACTCACTCACTCATTCATAAGCTTTCAAACAGAACCAGTCACCATTTAGTGTTTGGCCTATTGACTTTTATTTGTGGGATATTATTCACGTGTGTTTGTGGTCATATAGTAGGAATGTATATAAAGTACAACAGAAAATACAACAGAAAATGCATATGTCTTTTGTGACACCTACGAGCATTGGATACTGGTGTTGATGGAAGACGGCTGAATAAGAACCCATTGTCAGGGGATTTAGGCTATCGGCTATGCATCATGGACACTCATTAATAAGGTCCTTTTGAGGTAGCCTAGTGGTTAAAGCATCCATATATCAGGACGAAGACCTGAGTTCGATTACCACCTTGGTATACCATGGGAAAGCCATTTCTAGTGTCCCTGCCGTGATTTTACTTGAATATTGGACACAAAACGGCTTAAAACAATACTCACTGAGTCCACACACACACACACACACACACGCACACGCACGCACGCGCACACAGCTGACCTGTGTTCCACTGTTTGGGCATTATTTAGAGCTGTATGTATGATGACACATGTGCTGGGTACACATAAAACCATCAGAAATAGGACTGAGGGCGACTTCGTCAATTTTAGCAATATTCAAGCAATATCATCAGCAGACACTAGGAATGGGCTGAACCCATTGTGCCCATGTAGTGATCGAGAATTGATTCTTCGACTGTTCCATCTCCTCTCATTGACTGATCTTTGTTGTCATATTTCAGGCACTCACTGGGTGTGGGAAATGGCCCGTCTTCTTTTGTCGGGAGACACAGAAACTGTTATAATTAAGGAGAAATTGATGCTAGAGTTTTTCGGAAAATATGTCTTGGAGACGTATCCCTCTCCACGAATCTTAAACACGCACTGTCTTGTTGGACAGATGCCACGTGGTATTTTTTAGAAGAAGTGCAAAATAGTCTACATCCTCCGAAACCCCAAGGACATGGCAGTGTCGTTCTTCCACCACCACAAGAAACTGTTAACTTATGAATATGATGGGAAATGGGAAAACCATTTATCTTTACTGATGGATGGAAAAGGTTAGAACTGTTGTGAGAGAGTCAGTGAGTTTATTTAATTCCACAGTCAGCTCCAGGCAGCCAAACAGCTGACTGATACGAACAATGATCCTCGTAACGCTATCGCCAAATTATGGTATCCCAGAGGCATCAGAAAGTCCCGTAAAGACCCAGCAACCCATGCTTGTTGTAAGATTTTCACCTTCGCTGACATGGTTGGCACATGTCATCGTTCCCAATTACCTATTGTCTGGTCCAGACTTGATTATTTACTGACTGGCACCATGTAGCTGGCACCATTAGCTGGAGTGTGGCGTTGAACAACAAACAAACAAAATGCTTTGTCATAATTTGACGAAAAGGGTACATTCTAATTGTTATTAAGATCCTATATGTACGTTTGCTTTTAACAGATGCACCACAACTGCATGGTCATGAAAATATATAATCTTTCATATTGTGCCAAATTTCATTCATCGTGTGTTTGCTCATAGCCATACATAAAATTTACCACTGTCCGTGGATCGGCATGTATATACTATTTATTCAAGGAGTACTCAATCAGGAGATGGCTATATGAAATAATAGTTTTACCAATTTGCAAATAAATGGGTCACGGCTATTTCTCACATATAGTAGGAATGAATATAAAATACAACAGAAAATACAGCAGAAAATGTAGATGAGTTTCATGAACCTGTAATATTTAACTCCCCTAATTTCAGTTGACTCTGGATCGTTTACCACATACCTGAAGGACTGGGCTGCAATTGGGACGAACCATCCCGAGGTGCCGACTCTGACCTTGGTGTATGAAGATCTAAAAGAGGTAAGAATTACTTTTCAAGTAGCCACGTGGCAAATTACATCTTTTCAAGAAATTACATTAAAATAATCAGTTTGAATTTGCGCCTTTAAGGTTTTGCTGCACTAACGAGAGAGAGAGACATTTCCAACGGTCGCACCGAATGACAGACGGTTATTATCGTCGAACTCTTGCAAGTGTCGAAGTATAATCATCAGCACAATAACCATCCAAAACCCGCAAAGCCTTCATGTTACCATACTGAATAGCATTATGTAGGCAACTTAAATACATTAAGGGGTGGTGGGAAATATGGTTTAAACGTTAGCACATCATGCCAAAGACCCGAGTTTGATTCCACACATGCGAACAATGTGTGTAGCGCATTTCTGTGTAACCCGCAGTGATATTGCTGGAATATATACGTTGGCCCCCTGCAAATTAGACACATCGCTGCTTGGCTGTATCTTTCTATCACTAGGTTCATGTAGGCCATTGGTTTGTCGTTTTCAGGATCCACTTGCCGGTATTAGAAAGTTAGCTAAGTTTCTGAATGCTGAGAAATCAGAGGAATTCTACCTAAAAGTAAAAGAGTTGACAAGTTTCAACAAAATGAAGGAAAAGAAAGGAAGCTTAGTCACAGCACCTGACGGTTCACCTGTTATGTACAGAAAAGGTGGGTACATACACCAGCACCTCGACATCTATTGACGTGATGGTATTCATTGATAAAACAGTATATCGAGCATCCCAAGCGTGTCAATGTAAATATATATATACAGAAAGAAAAGAAACCCCAAGGCTATCTTTAAAACAATTGGTGGTTAGGTTGGTTGGGGTAGGGTGATCCACTAGTTTTGCGGATCTCTCCTTTATTCTTTCCACAACTCGTTGGTGATGTATGTGGTGCGTATGTTGGCATTGACGGACACATCTATCGAGTTAATCCAATGGATGTTCTATCGGCTATGTATCGAATGACATTTAAGTTTGAATTAAGGATGTCAACACTGACCCAGGTCAACTAATGCTTAGTCTCTGAATATATATGATATTGATAGAATCAAATCTTTCTTTTTTGAATGAATAAGAGATTCAGAGCCTAAACCTGAGGACATCTAGAGTTGTTTCATTTGGGGAGTAAGCATTGCAAAAAGGGCAGGGCGGAAGTGAATATGATGCGGTTCAGGGACTGCGAGGCCGATTATGACACAGGCTGCGTGTGAATGTAGCGTTGTCATGTCGAAACAGGTCCCTCTGTTGGATGGTTATCTGAAAAAGGTGACGTTGAAGAACTTGATGTGCTGTCACACTCCCCTGAACTGCAGATATATTCGGATTTCAAATTATATAAGTTATTGCTCTTCACAAACTTGCAAATTCGCCATGTGCAATCTGCCACATGAAACATTAGGACAAGGTGTTTAAACATGGAGGGTTGTGGTTTACAAGGCCTCTTTATCTCGGCGATTACACAACAGCAACACATACCGAGACTGTGTTGAGAAGACAATGCTGTCACTTGCTTAGAAACAGGTGAATCTAGGACGTCAGAACGTTTCATGTCTTGGGGCTTGTGGAAAGCCTGGTGGTTAAAGCGTTCGCTCCGAAGACCCGGGTTTAATTCCCTACATGGGTACAAGGTTTGAAGCCCTGTAATAACGTTGCTGAAATATTTGTAAAAGTGGAGTAAAATTATACTCTCACGGTTCACGCCTCACCAAGCATTCTGGCCGACAAGGGAGAATGTCCGACTCTCGCAGATCAGATAGACGGGTGAAGAGCGTACAGCCCTGGAACGCTACAACCGGGCTTGTCACCTTCTACCAAGGATCACCACTGAAACCTTTATAGCAGAAGATGCATCTCATTTGATTTGGGTATCAGACGGTGAAGAACTGCCTGTGTCAGAAAGTTCTTTGGGCCAGATGATTTGACGGAGATGGCAATTTGACTGATCAAACTCGTCCTTGCCACAGAGTACGGCTCTACCTACAACAGAGAACTGTAGTTCAGCAACGAGTGGTTTCACTTTGGTTGGTTTGTTGTTTAATTCCGCTTTCAATAATATTCCAGCTATATGGCGGTGGTCTGTAAATAATCGAGTTTGGGCCAGACAACCCTGTGATCAACAGCATCAATCTATGCTTTAAGCATACCTGGTGTGGAGTTTAGCGCTATATAAATGGACACATCATTATTAAGTAGAACTTGCTAGGGAACGAAGACGTTCATGTATGTTTCGGTTTTATCTGCTAAATATTTATATTTTCAATAAAAGTTGCAGGACAGCTAACATCACAGGTGGACAAATGCCATTTCCAAATGTGTTGAAATACGTTATTCTTGCATTTTTACAAACATGAGTTTATTAGTAAGAGTCTGTACGCATGTTTGTTTCAGGTGAAGTTGGCGACTGGAAAAATTACTTCACCGTAGCCCAGAACGAGGCTTTTGACAGACTATACATGGAAAACATGGCTGGCTGTGACATAAACTTTAGATACTCGCTGAAGTAAGGAACGAAGACAAAGGTGTCAGATGGGAAATGTATACCCATGCCGATACGAGAACAAGAACACATTACTACAGAGTACTACAGGACTGATAGTAAATCTATCAAAAGAGAATATGTCATTTTGAATACTTACTGAACATCCATTCCAATTCCATTGTACATATTTTCAAAACGAATGTGCCATTTGTGTCAGTTATGATGTTCGTGAGAATATCTGGTGCTTTGGTGTAGGTGCCGGTGTGTAGACAGTGGATGTGCTTTCATATTTCTATATCAGTGTTAAACCTTCATTTACCTAACGGCGCATAGAGAGATATTAATTCATCATCCAAAACTGTGTTCCACAGGAGATATTGCCTGTGTGAGATCAATCGATATCTCCTGGGAGACAGTAGATGTTGTACAATGGTAAATGTTAACAAAAGTAGGGGAATTTTGGATAAATGTTTAAAATGTTTTAACGTTTACCATTTAATGAACGCACCGCCATTTCTCTTTATCACCACCCCTAAACACAACGCATGGGATGCACGTGCACAACGCAGTCAAGAGTATATATACAGAGACATCGAGCTGTGGGTGTTCTATAGCCTTTTTAAAGCATATACACATGTACTGCTTCACAAATTGAAATAAACGTGGTACAGTACCAACAAAAACCAAAATGTTGACGGTCGATCCTGTTCAGAGGTCAGGCACCTGAGAACAGAATCAGTTAAACCAGGTTCAAAATGAAATAATGGAATTACAGGAATAGTATTATCATTCGTGACATGGTGCTTGTGCAATCAGATGATAACTTTCATAATATAAACGCAGATGGTGCTGAAATTGTCATATGGAGCGGACGGTTCTGTTTCAAATACCGCTATTATGCACAAGCTTTTTCCGAAAACGATATTTGAGTAAAATATATCAACTTCTCTCAGTATTCATTTTCATGTTCTTGATGTGGCTATTTCTTAATCAAATACTCTATTATGACAGATTTTGTGGACAACAACTTCTTTTATTAAGTGAATGCGGAGAGTCGCTACAAGCAGCGATGACAACTGTACTAGAATTTGTGTCGAAACGTCACAGTCACGAAATGAAAGGAGAGTGAGTGAGAATAGTTTTACGCCGCTTTTACCAATATTCCAGCAATATCACAGCGGGGAACACCAGAAATTGGCTTCACACAGTGTACCCATATGAGAAATCGAACCCGGATTTTATTTCTTTAACCATAAGGCTACCCCACCGCCCCAAATAAAAGTAGATGTTATCCTTACAATTTGTCATTGTTCTACTTTCCAACCCCTAAAATGTCACTCGTAGACAATGTAGTCTGTAGTACTGTTAGGAAAAGTATACAAGTATGATTTGTGGGAACCAAACGTGAAACAGGAAAAGTTTGTATACAGTGTTGTACTTGATACAAATATCACGAGGGTGTTTCTTACATTCTTACTTCTTGTCAAGTTTTCACTGTTCCCAGCAGGCCAAGTACCTATGAGATCATGTTTGAAACTGTTTGCTAGGTAGTTTACTGAGGGAGAGAGTTTACTTTAACGCCGCACAATATTCCAGCTGTGTGGCGGCGGTATGTAAATAATCGAGTCTGGAACAGACAACCCAGTGACCAACAGCATGGGCAGTTCTAACGAACGGGTCAGTAGTAGTAGTAGTAGTAGTAGTAGTAGTAGTAGTAGTAGTAGTAGTAGTAGTAGTAGTAGTAGTAGTAGTAGTAGTAGTAGTAGTAGTAGTACATTATGCGTAATTACCAAGAGGGAGGGAGATCAATTATACTTCTTTTTTTAATAATATATATACATGTACATACATACATTAATACATACATACATACATACATACATACATACATACATACATACTACATACATACATACATACATACATACATACATACATACATACATACATACATACATACATACATACATACATACATACATACACATACATACATACAAATAAGTTGGCATCTCGCCCTGATTCAAGATTGAACACAATTATCTTGTTAATCCTGATAATGATCACCATTCCAAAAAGGTGTGTCAGTGACTTGTCAAAATTTCAGTGTGAACAAAACTCTCATGACAGTATCATACTAAAGAAGGCCGCCAACCCAACAGCTGAAGATTCTGTGTCAGGCCATCAGCAGATTAGTATGAAGTCTTCAGGATCAAGTGTGGAACCTTCAGTTGTCATGCTTGACTATTGTGGACAGATTAAAGATCATATCACTGGTAAACAAGTGTGAACAGGACTTTCATCCTTTAGGTATTGATGCATCCACTCAGACAGATATCTTTCATAGATTTAGTATGACTGTTTCAACACAAACTTTAAATCATGGTATTGCATTTGCTATATCAAAGTCTAAAATGGTAAATGTTGAATTTCAGTGTAACAAGCCTGTGAGACAATGTACAGATATTATCGAGAAACCACCAGGACTTCGCCAAAAGAAAGCTTGCAGAAGCAGTTAAAATCCGGGGACACAAGCCCTCAATCAACAGAGACCAGGGATGTCTCATCCCTTCTGCATACAATGAACTGATAAAAACTACAGATTAGAGCACTCCAGCTATAATTGCTAATTAATCTTATCAGCCATGTATATTTTGTTTCTGCCTAAAGGACCACTGGCGTCTTCTTATTGTCACCACATTATTGGTTAGTACCCATGAAGTAGAATTGTAGAAACGGAGTCCTCTCAGTTAGCCAGATTCTGTCAAAACAGGTCTCTGACATAGCCAGAGTGGGATTTGGCTGACTTGGGTAAGTGTTTTGATAAAACCTAGACCAGATGAGCCATAGTCTGTATCACAACATGCTAAATTAGGGAGACGAGTGAAATTTGTATTAAAGTGGGATATATTGATAGCATTATGGTATTGTGTGAATTTCTTTACATTTTTCATTTTTTGATAATATGTGTTTTGACAAAGAATTTTTAATTTCAGTGCTATCGTTTATAAATTTAGCAGGCAGATTTGATCATAAAATAACGTGTTTATATGACATATACTGTTTAACAATGATTAGCGTTATTTCTCATAACATAACTAGTAGTGATATTCTGAACTCATTACACCAGTTCATTCAAGTAACTTCCAGTGATTATGACCACTACATAACTAATGGTGACATTCTCAACTCATTACGACCGCCTCCGTGGTGTAGTGGTTAGAGCGTCCGTCCCCGACTGCGTCATACCAAAAGACGTTAAAATATGGTACTTGTTGGTCCCTGCCTGGCGCTCGGCATTAATGGGTACATCAAGGACTGGTCGGCTCGGAGTCAGTATACTGTGTCTGAATGGGGTATTCATGCTTCTCTGCGGCATGGTATCACAGTGGGCTAGCACTATAAAACCAGTTTCAGTCTGGGCTAGTACAAGCAGCCGCACATACACATACACACGCATGCACATCGTCATATGAGCGAAATATTCTCAAGCACGACGTTCAACCCAATTCCACCACCACCACCTCAACTCATTACACCAGTCCAATCAAAATGTGACAAAACCTCCAAAATAATTGGTACAGAAATGATCTGAATGTTTTCAACATGGCTAAGTTATAACTGATGAGTACTAAAAAGCCCTCCCCTGAAATATGATGCTTAGTCCTATTTTGGGGGGTTAAAAGTTTAAAAATTAAAATCTTCAGTAAATAATTTTAAAAATCTCATATTGAGACACAAATTTACCTTTTTATATATATTTCAAAGAGTACACAAGGTACTGCCAATAGATGAATTAGAAAAGTCAAATAATGTTATCCGAATTCCTATTTTGGGGTGAAAAGTTAATAAATATAATGTACAGAGAATAAAAAAAATTCATATTGAGACACAATTGTACTCTTTATGGATATTTCAAAGAGCACGCAAGGTATTACTTGTACATGGGTTGTAAAAGTCAAATAGATGTATGCTAAATCCTATTATGGGGTAAATTTGTTAAACTTTTCAGAGAATAATTTTTAAAATCTCATACTGAGACCAAAGTGTACTTTTATATGCATACTTTCAAAGAGGACACATGGAACTACTAATACATGGACTGGAAACGTCATAATTTGAATAAACCCATAAATAAAAGACTTTTCAGAGCATATATTTTCTATTTTCAAGGGTAAAATAAACACAACCTCAGGAACATGCAATTTAGTTCCTCTTTTTGCCTCATCAAAATTATGATAAATCTGAGAGGGAAAGGGAAACTTTGAACAGAGAGAGAGAGAGAGGTCAAGTTATGAACTTGAGCCCTGTGATATTTTAAGATGTTGAAATGTGTATTTATTGTTTCCTTGGCAATACGTTTGACTTTGTCCATGGTAGTATACATGTACTTGCAACGGCTATATCCAAAGCCCATAGGAGTTCAATTAAGAAAGTGGTGCCTTTGCTCTCCAGGTATTTGTCCATGACACTAGGTTTAGGTTTACTAAGAGAAGAGTGTATTTATTGAAATCCAAATCAATATTTATCTGCTTTAACCTCATGGAACCGATTGAAGTACAGGGGACCAGATCATGCATGGTGGAACTTCCATGGCAGCATATGGGTGACAAATTCTCACAGTAAATCCATTACAGTGTCCTATGTGAGATGTTATCTGTCAAATACAACTAGCTTTCTTCCACGTGAATATGAACCTGTGTAGATCACTTGACTCTGGTTTACCTAAAATATGTGGTGTGTCGAAATGTGTACCGACTTGTACGTCTTTGTCTTGACCGCTCACAAACACGTAAGTTGAGCAAATATAGCTTTGGGTCTGGGATTCAGGTTGATCATAGGCACGAAGGTGACATAACTCAGTACTGAGAATGATACAATCTAGTGATTCATTTTATATTCTGCATGATTTGTTCAAGACACCAAGCAATTTGATTCAGTATCTCCGTAACATATGAACCCAGGACATATGAACCAATCCCTTTTAGCGCATCAACACCTCAGCATTCTTGGCAAACAGTCACCTAATTGGCAAAAACGTCATCGGTATGCGTTAATCCATATTCTCAGGTTGATCTACATTTTCTGTTGCAAATTGAATGAACTGACCATGTGTACACCCATTTTCGGAAGCAGTGCACTTAGCCCCTTCTTCTGTAACTAGAGATTGTAATAATGAACAAGATATTAATTAACATATCGGCTGGCTTGAACTATAGTGATGGTGACCCTGAACACCAAGGCTTGACAGAGATACCCTTGGTCTCATAGTCTGTATATTTTAATTAATTTTGAGTATCGTGCTTGGTGACAATGCTATTCAAAGCAAAACTTGATTTGATTCAACGGTGCTTGCAATAGTTTTTCACTTACCGGTACATTGAATTGTACCTGATTTCATGATAGTTACCCCCAACGACATGTAATACCATGGGATATATAGTCATCCCTCTGTCATTCAGAGATCTTTTCGTTTCCTGAGCAAAATATAAAGATAGTTGAAATACTTAAAGTATGTGTCCATTTGTTATTTCAGTTTAAAAAATACCTATGTTATTAATTTTTTACTAGCAGTAAAGGACAATACTGGTTGTGCTTTCAAAACCTTTCTAGAGCTTTGATCAAATAGCCCAGCACCCGTGAAGATCCAGTTTAGAATTGATCTTCAGTAACCCATGCTTGTCGGAAGAAGCGACTAATGGGATCGGGTGGTAAGGCTCGCTGACTTGGTTGACACGTGTCATCGCATCTCATTTGTGTAGATCGATGCTCATGCTGTTGATCACTGGATTGTCTGGTCCAGACTTGATTATTTACAGACCGCCGCCATAGTTGGAATGTTGCTGAGTGCGGCGTAAACCTAAACCCACTCACTACAAGGAGCCTAAGTTAATGATTTTTCCAATTTTAAGGAACAGATGTTTTTCAGTAAAAATATGTGTTATAT